ATGTGACGTCATCGATATTGACTAGTATATAAATAGTGTATGCATACATATTACATCAAAATACAGCTATTCTCTAAGTAAATATAAATAGAAAGCTACGTGTTTGTGTGTCTAACAAGCCATGTGTTCAAATATAAATCAATCATGAGATGGTTTTTATTTAGTTAATTGAATTATTTACTGTGAAAATTTTAGGCGTTGTGCGTATGGATGAGTCAAGATATGGCTGAAATCTTGCAACTCTCGTCATGCAACTATTGAATTTCTCAGTACCATCAATTTAATCCGTAACAATATGCATATATCAACTTGTGGATACATAGAGCTGCATGTTAGGGTGTGCCTGTAGTACACAGAGACAGTATACAGATATAAACATGTGTATACATAAACCTCCATGTTAGGGTGTGCATGTAGTACACTGAGGCAGTATACAGATATCAACATGTGTATACATAGAGCTCCATGTTAGGGTGCGCATGTAGTACACAGAGACAGTATACAGATATCAACATGTGTATACATAGAGCTCCATGTTAGGGTGTGCCTGTAGTACACAGAGACAGTATATAGATATCAACATGTGTATACATAGAGCTCCATGTTAGGGTGTGCATGTAGTACACAGAGACTGTATACAGATATCAACATGTGTATACATAGAGCTCCATGTTAGGGTGCGCATGTAATACACAGAGACTGTATACAGATATCAACGAATGCATACGTAGAGCTCCATGTTAAGGTGTGCCTGTAGTACACAGAGACTGTATATAGATATCAACGTATGTATACATAGAGCTGCATGTTAGGGTGCGCCTGTGGTACACAGAGAGAGTATACAGATATCAGCGTATGTATACATAGAGGTGCATGTTAGGGTGTGCATGTAGTACACAGAGACAGTATACAGATATCAACGTATGTATACATAGAGCTGCATGTTAGGGTGCGCATGTAGTACACAGAGGCAGTATACAGATATCAACGTGTGTATACATAGAGATCCATGTTAGGGTGTGCATGTAGTACACAGTGACAGTATACAGATATCAACGTATGTATACATAGAGCTCCATGTTAGGGTGTGCCTGTAGTACACAGAGACAGTATACAGATATCAGCGTATGTATACATAGAGGTGCATGTTAGGGTGTGCATGTAGTACACAGAGACAGTATAAAGATATCAACGTATGTATACATAGAGCTGCATGTTAGGGTGCGCATGTAGTACACAGAGGCAGTATGCAGATATCAACGTGTGTATACATAGAGATCCATGTTAGGGTGTGCATGTAGTACACAGTGACAGTATACAGATATCAACGTATGTATACATAGAGCTGCATGTTAGGGTGTGCATGTAGTACACAGAGACAGTATACAGATATCAACGTATGTATACATAGAGCTGCATGTTAGGGTGCGCATGTAGTACACAGAGACTGTATACAGATATCAATGTATGTATATATAGAGCTGCATGTTAGGGTGTGCATGTAGTACACAGTGACAGTATAAAGATATCAATGTATGTATACATAGAGCTGCATGTTAGGGTGCGCATTTAGTACACAGAGACTGTATACAGATATCAATGTATGTATGCATAGAGTTGCATGTTAGGGTGCGCATGTAGTACACAGAGACTGTATACAGATATCAAGGTATGTATACGTAGAGGTGCATGTTAGGGTGTGCCTGTGGTACACAGAGACAGTATACAGATATCAACATGTTTATACATAGAGATGCATGTTAGGGTGTGCCTGTAGTACACAGAGACAGAATACAGATATCAACATGTGTATACATAGAGCTCCATGTTAGGATGTGCATGGAGTACACAGAGACAGTAGACAGATATCAACGTATGTATACATAGAGCTCCATGTTAGGGTGTGCATGTAGTACACAGAGACTGTATACAGATATCAACATGTGTATACATAGAGCTCCATGTTAGGATGTGCATGTAGTACATGAGAGTACACAGATATCAACTGTATGAATACAGCTCCATGTTAGGGTGTGCCTGTAACAGAGACTCATACAGATGTCGCATATCGTATGTATATATAGAGCTGCATGTTAGGGTGTGCATGTAGTATAACAGTGACAGTATAAAGATATCAATGTATGTATACATAGAGCTGCATGTTAGGTGCGCATTTAGTATACATAGATCGTGGGCTACAGATATCAATGTATGTATGCATAGAGTTGCATGTTAGGGTGCGCATGTAGTACACAGAGACTGTATACAGATATCAAGGCATGTATACGTAGAGGTGCATGTTAGTGTGCCTGTGGTACACAGAGACAGTATACAGATATCAACATGTTTATACATAGAGATGCATGCCGTTAGGTGCGCCTGTAGTACACAGAGACAGAATACAGATATCAACATGTGTATACATAGAGCTCCATGTTAGGATGTGCATGTGAGTACAGAGACAGTAGACAGATATCAACGTATGTATACATAGAGCCCATGTTAGGTGTGCATGTAGTACACAGAGACTGTATACAGATATCAACATGTGTATACATAGAGCTCCATGTTATGTGCATGTACACAGAGACAGTAGACAGATATCAACGTATGAATATATAGAGCTCCATGTTAGGGGTGTAGCCCAGTACAGAGACTTATACAGATATCAACATTATGTATACATAGATTCCATGTTAGTGTAAAGTAGTACAGACTGTGTAATGATATCAACGTATGCATACATAGATTATGTTAGGGTGTGCATGTAATAATACGAGACAGTAGAGATATCAACGTATGTATACATAGATCTCCATGTTAGGGTGTGAATGTAGTACACAACGACTGGTATACAGATATCAACATGTATACATAGATCTCCATGTTAGGGTGTGCCTGTAGTACACAGAGACTGTATACAGATATCAACGATATACATAGAGCTCCGTATGTACACAGAGAGAGGGTGCATGTAGTACACCTTGATATACAGATATCAATGTATGTATACATAGAGTATGCATGTTAGATGCATGTTAGGTGTACGTCAGTACACAGAGACAGTATACAGATATCAACGTATGTATACATAGAGTCTATGTTAGGGTGTGCATGTAGTACACAGAGACAGTATACAGATATCAACGTATGTATACATAGAGCTCCATGTTAGGGTGAATGTAGAACAACAACATGTTACAGGTGTGCCTGTAGTACACAGAGACTGTGCCTGTATACAGATATCAACGTATGTATACATAGATCTCCATGTTAGGGTGTGCATGTAGTACATTGTGACAGTATACATATATCAACGTATGTATACATAGAGGTGCATGTTAGGGTGTGCCTGTAGTACACAGAGACAGTATACAGATATCAACGTATGTATACATAGAGCTCCATGTTAGGGTGTGCATGTAGTACACAGAGACAGTAGACATATATCAACGTATGTATACATAGATCTCCATGTTAGGGTGTGCCTGTAGTACACAGAGACTGTATACAGATATCAACGTATGTATACATAGATCTCCATGTTAGGGTGTGCATGTAGTACACTGTGACAGTATACATATATCAACGTATGTATACATAGAGCTCCATGTTAGGGTGTGCATGTAGTACACAGAGACAGTAGACAGATATCAACGTGTGTATACATAGAACTGCATGTTAGGGTGTGCATGTAGTACACAACGACTGTATACAGATATCAACGTATGTATACACAGAGCTCCATGTTAGGGTGCGCATCTAGTACACAGTGACAGTATACAGATATCAACGTATGTATACATAGATCTCCATGTTAGGGTGTGCATGTAGTAACTTTCTAGCGCCTCACTGGCAGCTTGGGTTATCCGGGGGACTTTGTGATGCGCCGTTGAACAGATCCAAGTTGGATACCAGGCGCCACAGAAATCCATTATAATAATAAAATAATACATATAGACTTCTAGCTGCATGCTTGGGTGTGCATGTAGTACATAATACAGATGTCGACGCATGTTTATACAAACAGCATGGAATATGCCGTGCATCTAGCCCTCCGGGTGTATTCCAAGTGGAAACGGAGATAAAGGGATTAGTTCAAATTAAATGGGAAGATCACACTCTCAATTAATGACCTTGACGGTTTTTGTTAAAAGATGCTATTATAATCCGCAATACTTGGTACTTCGGACATATATGATGCATGAAGTTTGCTTTTAAGACAACTTGAAACTCATATGGATAAGCCTGGAGCTCTAGCTGAATGTGTTCTAAATCCTCCTGTCGGGAAACCCCCACCTATTCACAGTCGTCAGTGCACACATATAATAACGACATACCGACATTGTAGCCATCCATATTTGTGATCAATAACTTTCTCCATCCATGTGGTAGTTCGTGTGACCTACATCAGTTTACGAAAAGAATACAATAAAACATTAGAGCACTGCATCACCTACCGATATAGATTGTCAGTTGTGATTGACTATAGGGGCGATGATTAATAAGTAGATAACTGAACTGGTGTTAACGCAAGGCTAATAACATTATCATATGGAGCTATTATGAAAGCCAGACAGGCATGATTGCCCCTTTAATTGTGGTATCAAGATTGCGCTATTATTATATAGCATGCTGTATGTGCAAGGTCGGTTCAACGTCTTTTTATTTCTGGTGAATCTAGCAGCCATATCAGACTGGGGTGAATACTCTGGAGACTGTTAGATTGATGTCGGTGGCGGTACGACTGAGGACTTTCTAAATGTAATAGTTAGTCGATATAGTGAACGGTTGCAGTATTTTCACCACGGCTGAAGGTATGCTGTCTGTACCGCGGCAGGGGACGGGGCTTCTCTCCTGTAGCAGATGCCTGAATGTACCCTGCACAGCGGCTGCTCCTGTTCTGGCAGACACGCCACTGATGTGCTGATGTAGGTGTTCCAGTCGGGCGGTGAATGGATCACAATACGCTACAGCTGACGAAGAGAAATTCACTACACGGCGAGCCAGGACCCTGACAGCTTTGTTTTTATATTTAGACGAACTATTTGCACTTAGGGCAAGGAGAAGAGGTGATTGATAAACACTCGTTCATTGTTCTGTGTCTTCCTTGGTAGCCTGGATCTTCTTTCCTTCATGGCTGATTTCTTTGTTCCTGGATACGTTACCCCTACAATAAGCTACAGCTGCCCGGTAACTGGAGTGGTGGAGTCACCACGGAACGTTCTTCCTCTTCAGCTCGCTCCACAAGTACTCTGAACTAGTAACGGAACATACACACTGATAATGACCCTCATCGTCGGCGCCAGCATCCTAGCCCTGTGTTGTAGCGGTGTATTCGGGGTTACAACCAACCATGATGAATTTGTCGCAAACCCAGTTCAACCTTCGTAAGCATTATGTAGCAATATTCTTGCATGCTGTGGATTAATCCATGTTTTCATATGTTGCTAAGTTTACACAGTATGTATATTTGTTTCCTGAGGTTACATTCGATCTAAATGTACGTGTGTTCACATATTACTTCCGCATTCAGTTCAGCTGGAAATAAATCCAGATAGAGAGTTTCTGTAGAATTCGTAAGAAAACCCAGCCAAACAGCTAACTCTGTAGGAAAACATTTGAAGTAAGCATTTAGTAGACATGGACTGACATTGTATATACGTAATACTTACAGTGTGACACTTTCATGTATACGGTATGGATGCTATTATTTATAGTTCACCTTTTGTCGGGTTGAAATAGAACATCTCTGTCTCAAACACATATCCCCGTCCCGCCCCTCCGGGGGTAGTTGATGGTCGACGCGGGTAGGAACCTGTATTGCTATCAGTTATGTATATACATTGATATATAGCCTAAAAGCTGATTTATCACTTTACATGTCGAATATATATGAAATCGTGTTATGTACTCAGCGACAGATTAACTTTATCCCCAGTGCAATCGGTGCATTACCGATGTTAGTTAATGATATAACTGACAATAGTAATTGGCCGTCAGTGAAATGTGTCAATCACGCCGACATTCCATGGTAATCAGCTTGCATGGGAATATGTTCATAAAGTCCTTCACCTTTCATTAATGTAGTTTTTTTATATACATGTATAGTTGTCTATTGTCCCGGAAGGGGTTCTTCAATGAAGCTTTCCTTACATCTGATAATGTATTTTCATGCTCCTCTCTAATTAAGAAATGAAAGCAGGTCATTATATGTTAAGTGTTCAGTTTCCATCCATCTGTTCTTGTTCTGCTTAATGCTCTCCTTTATATATCCAATCCAATATATCGTGTTTGTTGCATATTTCTATACAGTTCGCTTATTAATTTTCATTTACAAATTACAATCATGTTGGATATCATTTTCACATTGCGTCAGATGAAAACCCTCTCCCCCAAGTTAATTAATCGTCCTCCGGAAACATGCTATCAGTCACATTCCTTGTGTGCATATTTAAAGTGGTAGTGCTGTGCTGACCGCTGTGCTAATAGTGTCCCTGGAACACCAGACTACACAGCCACTACAAGACCTGCCAATTGATGTCCTTACATACAAAGATACATCACCTGGGGGCAGACATATGGATATATTGTCAGCGAACAGCTGATATGAGGACATAATTAAGTAACAAGAGACGATATTCGAGCTTCAGTGGCAACATGACTCATGTATTGTGTAACTGTAAATGTTCTAGTATTACCATTTGCTGTTATCCATACTGGTGGACATCAGCGGCGCGCGCGCGTGCGTGCATGCGTGCGTGTGTGTGTGTGTGAGAGAGAGAGAGAGAGAGAGAGAGAGAGAGAGAGAGAGAGAGAGAGAGTGACCAGTGCTACTTCCTGGTACCATGTGTATGGAGCTATGTCCGCAGTGCCAGGCTCAGACCTACACCTGTCGGCAGAACATGGATGGTGCACCTACCTCTCTGTGTCGATTTTGTGTATGCCATTCTGTCCTATAAACGAATCAACCGTTTGGCATCAACACTTAGTGAAATATTCACACTAGTTCTTTCGCGTAATGAGAAAATGACTTTTATCAGGAGTGGGTTTAGAGGTCAGTGAACTGGTATGTCTGATGACGTGGGTGATATTATTACTGAAGTTCATATGGATCCGTTGTCTGAGGTTTTATGAGTTCATATATATACATCTATATCTAGGCATATGTTTTAAAAAATATATATACCGTTTGACAGTTTTGGGGATTTAACATGAATATTTATCAAAACCTTTTTGTCAACTTAGTTTCGGACGTTAACTCAATAAACTACAACTAGCGCAGGTGTTATGCATGTACATTTTGTGCACTTCAGCGTACCGCAAATAGTCTTGTTCTCATAACAGTGATTTCTTGTTCAAATATTTCAAGCGGACAGTATCGATACTTTTCATTCAGTTGTATTGTGTATCACTTAATCATCATGTCCTCGTTTTCGCCCAGACACCAATATAAGCGTACATACCTACATCCATGCTTGTTCCATTGTCACCGTGCTGCCTATTTGAGGTTATTGTAGTTAGTGGTAGAACCACTTCGCCCCCAGGATTACCAGACAAAATAGTCCCCAGTAGACACAGGCCACCAGTCATTACTTAGTCAACGTTTATATCTTTGTCCATACAAGGGAGTGTAAATACACAACGTGTTTATGGTGTAGACGGGATGCATCCCAGGGCGTCCAGCGTCTGTACATGAGTAAAACACTGCTTAAATAATGAACCGTTGGTATGGTGATAGATCATTGTGGTCTACATTAATGACTTTATTGATAAAAGGTAATAGGCGTCACAGACTATATTGGAGGCTGTTAGAGATCATTCCAATATTGACCAGGACACAGTGTAGGTGACCAACTGATTTACCAGTCAGTCCAAGAGTGGAGCTTCACATCTAGTATCTGATGTTGTTAGGCAAACTAACCCCGGATCTTGGATAATTACATGGTAATTAGGTGCAAATACAGTAATTGATACAAGGAATGACCTGGTGTTTTCGGCAAGTCTTTTGGTTCAAAGATGCGAAAATAATTATAGCGGCAAGGTATTATTCTAGCCTGCCATACAGACCCTGAAACAAATATATTCAATTGCAAGAAAGCCCATGCAAGTCTACAATATGTGGTAAGTCAAGATTTCTGAAAATGAAGAAAGTCTCTGGGCCCCTTTTCATATCATTTTATGATTATTTTTTATCAACAGTATTTTTCTGTAAAACATGTTCATTTTACAGACTAGATTTTAGTCTAGGAGTTATTCATATGGATCCTAATCCACGTCTCAAAATGCGGTATTGCATTTCCTCCTGAACAGATGCACATCTAAATATATAGAGGCACATAGGTTTAAAGGTCATACAGGATCATACAGTCACATCGCCCGAGGCCCTCGCTTGTCATGGGAGCTGAACCAAGCCTCTACTTTACAACATGGCAGAAAGTAGCTGACGTGAAGCTAACGTGATCTCATGGGAAACAGAAACATTATACAGTCATTAGCATCGATCAGGGGTCTTTTATAAATGCAAATTAGAAATTGTTTGAAATTGTATATTGGAATGTATTTTATTCACACTTAATTATGTTGACTTCTAAATGTAGTAAGAGCTTCCATTACCATTTTCCTCAACCATTTAAGTGGTCTAAAACAGTCCTTAGTTGATCTTCTGGAAATACCAATGCAAGTGTTTGGGACCATGTAAAGACTTACATGGATGTGATGGATGTTAATTTATCTGCTATCATGAACGCGACATCAGTTGAATGAAAGCTAAAAATAAATATGTACATGTGAGAGCAAACTAAAGTGAAAGGTGAACACGTACTAATGGGAGGACCCGTGAAGATCCGGGTTAGAACTGATTTTCAGTAACCCATGCTTGTCGTAAGAGGCGGCTAACGGGTTCGGGTGGTCAGGCTCGCTGACTTGGTTGACACATGTCATCGGTCCCCACTTGCGCAGATCGATGATCATGCTGTTGCTCACTGGATTGTCTGGTCCAGACTCGATTATTTACAGACCGCCGCCATAAACTAAGTAGCTGGAATATTGCTGAGTGAGGCGTAAAACTAAACTCACGCACTCACTCGCTAATGGGAGCCAGGCGTTACTTTGCGCTGATTGGTACTATACTGTAAAGATAAAGGTGAGGTGAGGTTAAATTGGGTTTAACGTCGTGCTTGAGAATATTTCGCTCATATGACGACGTGCATGCGTGTGTATGTGTATGTGTGGCTGCTTGTACTAGCCCAGACTTAAGCTGGTTTTATAGTGCTAGCAACTGAGATACCATGTCGCAGTGAAGCATGAATACCCCCTTCAGACACATTATACTGACTCCGAGCCGACCAGCCCTTGCTGTACCAATTAATGCCGAGCGCCAGGTAGGGACCAACAAGTACCATATTTTAACGTCTTTTGGTATGACGCGGTCGGGGATCGAACCCTCAACCTTCCGCTCTCCGGGCGGACGCTCTAACCACTACACCACGGAGGCGGTGGTCGCTTAGATAAAGGGAGGAAAGAGGGTATGTATATGTATATGTATATAGATAAGCTCTTGGCTTCCTAGCTTTCGTTGATGAAGGAATATGCTCCGAAACGTCGTGTTCCCTATAATGCAGAGGTTGGCGGCCACAGCGTTCCCTTGTACGTGTATCAGCTCTAGATGTCAATCAAAGACTATTGCCTTGTTTCAGAGAGGAGGCGATACGGAAGATCCTGGCTACCTATGATGCTAACGTACCACCAAACTTTGAGGAAGGTGAGTATTGTTCCAGTCAGTCGGACCTACAGACCCTGAAATACATCTACCCAATACTGACCATGCAAGTCTTCCTGCATATTGTATTGTCCAAAAGACAAAGGCATTGGGCACAAGTGCACCACTTATTGTCACCTACTCCATAAATACATTTTAAGTAGTATTACATCATGGAGAGGAACAATATACAGTGGAGACTTGACATCGAGGAATATACAGTCAACTCTCGTTAATCCGACACTTGTGGTTGCAGAGAAATATGTCGGATATGTAGTTAGATATATTTAAATAGATTGAACAGAACCACAGAGCCAATTTCGCTCCCACATGTACTCCCTGGAGAAATCAATGAAACATATAGGAGTGAAATTGGCTCTTTGTTTTCTTTTTCAATCCAATTAGGTATACATATATATATATGTATCTACATATAGATTACATGTATTTATATACAGTGCTGATGTACAGAATATATACAGTGTGCAGGAAAGGTCAGCATCTCATACATGTGCAAATATTGTACAGTTTACTATTTATATATAGATTGAACTATGAAATCTATTAGTAGTTTCTATAAACTGATGTACAGACAAGAAACAAATCGTAGATTAGGGTCACCGAATACAGTAGTGTGGAGTGTTTTTGTGACTTCCTGAGGTTATCATATAAAGTGCATTTACAACAGAAATGGAATGAATTTCCACATGGCGCACCACATTCACAGGCAATAACATCAGATAAGTTAACCTGAAACTTAGTTTCTTACATATTTGATGATATATTTGAAGTAGTTGAAAAGTGCTTGAGGTATATATCCTGATTGGTATATACACAGGAAATTGTGATCTATAAGATGATTATACAGTCTTTAAAAGCCGATTCTCTCAAATACCCTCCTGACACACGGTAATAGTGATATAGGTCTACAACTGGAAGGTGAAGATGTATCACCGCAAGTCTAGAATATGTGTCTAGATTACTACAGGTTCAGGTCTGAGTATGAAGAAAGTCGCTGGGGTCCGTTTTATCATATTTTATTAATATTATTTAAGAACCCCTTTTTTCTGTGAAATGAGTTTATTTCAAAGACTAGATGTTAAACTTGGTTTCAACGTGTCTGTGTGTAGTTACTTTAACGTCGATCAGCTGCAAGGGTCATTTAATGTAGCAGTTTTTGTGAGAACATCAGTAAATGTCTACGAATGATATCCATCTGTCGTGGGTGGACAATCTCAGTAAAATACTAAATTTATGTTATTACTGCTGGAATTCTTAGGACAGATTTGGTGAAAGTATGGGTACGGACAAGCAGTGGTCTGTAATGGGTACTCTATTTCTTGTTTCCTGGATAAACGGAATTGTGCTTTATCAGCCATACATATATGATAAGTTATATCATATGAATTTAAGCCAGTATCACTTGGTCGTCACAGATCATTCCTTTGTTCTTGACATCTAACCTATAAAGCATTAATCATCATTATAAAGCTCTATCAAATACCATCCCTATGTCCTGATATCTTATAATGCCTCAGAAAATTCAAAAATGAGAGCATTGCAATTATTTTCCCCGACATCACCACCGAACTAAAAGTGATTGTCTGACAATCATCTTAGGCACCACTATTCTTGGTTCTTGCAGACATCGCTACCCGGGTCACTGTGCAGATATACATCGTCAGTTTTGATTCCATTAGTGAATCGACTATGGTAAGTAAGTTGCAAACTGAGAGAGAGAGAGAGAGAGAGGAGAGAGAGAGAGAGAGAGAGAGAGGGAGAGAGGGAGAGAGAGGGAGAGAGAGAGGAGAGAGAGAGAGAGGAGAGGGGGAGAGAGGAGGAGAGAGGAGGAGAGGGAGGGAGAGAGAGGGAGAGAGAGGAGAGAGAGAGAGCGAGAGAGAGAGAGAGGGCGGAGAGAGAGAGAGAGGGAGAGAGAGCGAGAGAGAGAGAGGGAGGAGAGAGAGAGCGCGCAGAGAGAGCGAGAGAGAGAGAGAGGGAAAGAGAGTGGGAGAGAGAGAGCGAGAGAGAGAGAGGGAGAGAGAGAGAGAGGAGAGGAGAGAGCGTGAGAGAGAGAGAGGGAGAGAGAGGAGAGAGGGAGAGAGAGAAAGAGAGAGAGAGAGGAGAGAGAGTGGAGAGAGAGAGAGAGAGAGAGAGAGCGAGAGAGGGAGAGAGAGAGAGAGAGAGAGAGAGAGAGAGAGAGAGAGAGAGAGAGAGAGAGAGAGAGAGAGAGAGAGAGAGAGAGAGAGAGAGAGGTGGCATCTATAATCATGAGAAATAACATTTGCTTTTAGTTAGTCGTAAGTTGATGCAATTCGTCAAATTAAGTTAGGAAACAAGAGTGTTCCTGTTGGTTACCCGTTCTTTGTGTCACGTGATACAGACACATGCACAAATACATTGGATTGATCAACACAACAACTGACAATTAAAATATGTTATCATACAGCTCATCTATGGCATTAGATGGACATACTAAGACGTTACCTCCCAAATTCATTGAGTTTGGTTGTAGCACTTGGTGAAAGGGGTCCCCCGCACTGGCCCCGAATACAGACGATTAAAACGGACTGCTACAAGTGTTATAACGCTAAGATATGCCAAGACAGTCAACAGTAACGTGCCTAGTGAAGACGTGATCGGCACTCATTACAACAGCTACGTTTGTTGTCAGCGATTGTCCCCGATATGTGTGTTCTGTTATCACTCCCACCGACTCTACGTTAATAACACTTGTTCTGTTTGAGGTTTCTTCCTTCGAAAGTCTGTTGCCAGCCTTTTTTTTTTATACGTTGATAATCACACCATTTGCGAACTGCGGCAATGGCTTTCTTGTATGTGTCTTCATTGTCGACATGTAAGCTGCCAACTGTGCCGCCAATGTTAGGTAGTTGGGAGAATAACCCAACTAGACACAAGATACTATGTGGCATTATTAGACCTTGAGAATATTGATGCTATAAATGCCCCGTTACTCGGATCGAAGTAGGCAGAAATCCATTTGTGTGAAAGGGTAATCACTGAGGTGATCGAATCGAATGCCTTGTGTTGTAAACAAAACCCAATACACCGTCCAATACACAGCCCCAGGTTGGTATAGTAAGTGAAGGATGGCCATTAACGTCCTGTGAAAGGATAATGACCTTATTTGGCAAACACAGATGTGGTAAATATACAAACAACATTAAATACGCCCTCGTGTCAGCTGTAGAAAACAGTGCAACATATTGTGATTCTTAGATCACATAAACTCGAGTTTTATCACTGTGCCTGAAGCCACACTGTTGAAAGTCAATATTACAGTGACAAGCTGTTCAGCACGTTTGGTGTTGTAGAGTACACAATGATTCACCACAACTGATCTGACTACAAACCAGGTTAACTCATGTTCATATTTGTTTCACCAACTAACTTGTTATGTAGTACTGTGGGCATCGGTACAAATGCAGTACACTATTGTGTAAGCATCATTCTAAACGTTCTTTCACATTAGGGCTTACTCCCCATTTGAGATATAGTTTTGTAAAATGAACATGTCTAAGTCCCTGGACATATTAGACGTCCACTGTCGCCATGTTGCATACATATAATACTGAAACAACACTGCAATGTTGTACACATATAACACTGAAACAACATTGCCATGTTGCGTACATATAACACTGAAAGAACACTGCCATGTTGCATACATACAACACTGAAACAACATAGCCATGTTGCATACATATAACACTGAAACAACACTGCCATGTTGCATACATATAACACTGAAACAACACTGCCATGTTGCATACATATAACACTGAAACAACACTGCCATGTTGTACACATATAATACTGAAACAACACTGCCATGTTGCATACATACAACACTGAAACAACACTGCCATGTTTCATACATATAATACTGAAACAACACTGCAATGTTGCATACATATAACACTGAAACAACATTGCCATGTTGTACACGTATAATACTGAAACAACATTGCCATGTTGTACACATATAATACTGAAACAACATTGCCATGTTGCATACATACAACACTGAAACAACATTGCCATGTTGTACACATATAATACTGAAACAACATTGCCATGTTGTGACATATAATACACTGCCATGTTGTAGACATATATAATACTGAAACAACACTGCCATGTTGCATACATATAACACTGAAACAACACTGCCATGTTGCATACATATAACACTGAAACAACATAGCCATGTTGCATACATATCACACTGAAACAACACTGCCATGTTGCATACATATAATACTGAAACAACACTGCAATGTTGTACACATATAACACTGAAACAACATTGCCATGTTGTACACGTATAATACTGAAACAACATTGCCATGTTGTACACGTATAATACTGAAACAACACTGCCATGTTGCATACATATAATACTGAAACAACATTGCCATGTTGTACACGTATAATACTGAAACAACATTGCCATGTTGTACACCTATAATACTGAAACAACATTGCCATGTTGTACACGTATAATACTGAAACAACATTGCCATGTTGTACACATATAATACTGAAACAACATTGCCATGTTGTACACGTATAATACTGAAACAACATTGTCATATGTTGCCAGGGTCCAACCTTTTACAATAACCTTCTCCATCCGGTCTATCTGCCTCTTGTCATGTTTCAATTTGATGCTTTAAATAATTTATGCGAGGTTGCTCTACGACTGACAAACTGTGCCCAATCCTTTTCCTCCAGTATAAATGTAATATAAAACAAATCGAAATACTTTGCCTCATACCGCACACTTGAACTGAACAATAACAATGAATGTTTATTGCTGTCCACGGAGCTGTACCACGGAGTTGCACTGACTTATGGATATATGGATCTCTTGTGTGTTTCTGTCCCCATTTGCCTGCTCTATCCAGGCTGGACCCGTGTGATCCAAGTATAAAATATATACTATGTATTACACACGTTAAAAGACGTTTGTATATCCCAGTAGGTCCCAACATACATCTACCTTGTGAGCCTTACGGCTAACACAAATATCGTATCCACATTTACAATGGAATAACACATGCTAAACCATAACAGTGAGTGAAAGCGTTAAAACTGACAGTTAAAATGGCCTCAGAGTTAGTATCTAACCATTATTTTACATTTGTGGCGACTCTCACTTTGAGTGACACTTGTTGGATATAGTGGGGCCAGCAGGCCTCATGACAACACACAGGGTGGAGGCAAGATGATGTTACACATGCCTTTATCTTTGAGTATTTGTTATGTTTTAAGTGTTTGTGAAATGTTATCATAGTGATAATCTCATTTTGTTATGTGTGATATTGGAACTTTTTAAACTGATCGTGTTCATTTGTGGGTTCAGAATGACACAAAGATATCTACATATTATTGTTATCTTTGGTCGTATATGGATTTCTTATATATGTCTACCTCCATTTGCCCGTTCTATGCAAGTGGGACCCTTGTGATCGCAGTGTGAAATCCAATGCATTATATAACAACTATGTGAAAACACGTTTTATGGGCCAGCGGGCCCGGCAAGCGTGTAGGCTATGAGACCTTACTGTTGACTGATCCAATCGTCACTTACAATCTCAAAACACATGCTTAAAACATAACAACGATAGAAAGCGGATAAACGACTGATAAAAGGCGTCGTTGCCAGATAATACTAATCACTGAAGCACGTGGAAGCCATTCATTTATTCATAATCGTATGTGTGAAAAAAACAAGGCCCTGTCAATGTGTTATGTGTAAATATGTATGGATCTGAAATATACATGTAGATGTCTCACAAGAGGGGGTCCGTGTGCACAGTTGCCATCTCACAGAGAACACAGCCTCGTGTAGGTAGAATCTGTCGGGAAATATATCAGCGAAATTTCACTTCAACATTGAAATAACAAATATGAATATTACATATGTTTATGTCCAGACCTGTATTTGCCGCCGAAGAACATTAGAACTGGCTTGTTTTGATACTTCGTGTACATCTGCCGCTAGTTTGGACACGACCTTGTGGAACAGTATGCAGCGGAAACCGTTTCTAATCATGCTTTTGAAATTAATCTCTCGTGGCTGTTCCATATGTATGTGCATAACCATTCAATATGATTTACATATCGTGATTGCCATTATCAATAATACAGATCAGAAAACAGGGGAAAACACATTCGTTTCATATTACTTTCTTAGGATGTAACTTAATGTAGCTATTATGCAACTGCATGACGTTATTGTTTCAGGATTACTCACTGACAATCTTCCTGCGTCAAACATGGCAAGACACACGTCTGAGATACGGTTCCCTCCCGAATATAGACGCTCTCGAGCTGGACACACGTATCATGTCTCAAGTCTGGGTTCCAGATCTCTTCTTCACCAATGAGAAGAGAGCCGACTTTCATTCTATCACGGTGCCAAATAAACTCATGCACGTGTACCCTAACGGAACAGTATTGTACAGTGCCAGGTGGGTACAAGCACCAACACCTCGCAATGTCCACAATAATCACTTGAAAATGCACAATATATACATGAAGAACTTAATTAAGCACCCCCTGACATATCTCACGATTGAATGAGCCACGATCTTAACCCATTAGAACATATATTAGACATGATTGGTCGTCGTGTGCAATACAAGGAACCTGGCCAAGTTGAAAGGTGCTTTACACGAGGAATGGCGTAGACTGCCCGTTCAGAGATCGGGAGGATGACAGGAAGAGAGTGCTGGTTGTCATGCAGTCACGTGGAGGTTACACTCGGTATTGACCTTGAATCGTGACACGCAAAGTGACACTTTGAATGTATTGCAACTATACAGAGGATGCTTAATTAAGTTGATTTTTGGGTGTGTTTTTTATTATTGATTTTTTCGTTCTTTTATTTGTGTGTGTGTGTGTGTGTGTGTGTGTGTGTGTGTGGGGGGGGTTAATACATATTCATTAAGATTTCGCAAATGCCTATGATGACATGTTACACTTTATGTTATACAGAGGTGTACATTATAGGCCACAAATGTGTGCACACATATAATGTCGAGACTTAGCTCACTGAATACAGCAAGGTGAGCGTGATATCTATATTCACTAACCACATTCATATAGCAACAGTCATTACAGAGAGATCAATATTTGAGCCCGAGTCACATCTATGCCTTTATTGTTTTATCAATCAAGTGACAAATAGCTTTGACCTTTTCATAAATCAATGATAAATCCGGGGTCACATGGAGAGCATTTAGCTGTCAGCGTGCTTGATAAATAATTGTAATAAATGATGTAGATGACTTGACAGTACAGGGTCCAGATCAGCAACAGCAGCAGCTTCAGGGCAATGATGGCTTCAGTATCAGAGACCATATTGCCCAGAGCTATTTCGATTAATCATTCTGTGAAAGAAATCAGACTTTTCTTTTTTTCAGATCTTTTTATTCATTTCAATTCAGTAGGTGTACATTCAGCTTGGGTGTGTACAAATATATACATATATTGAGTATGAATAACAGCTTTATGTAATTTATATATAGCAGCAATACATTGTTGGTTGGATACTGTACTGAAGCGTGCGTGAAATAAGTATGGATGGACATCAACACTGATATAAGCTGTGTACTATGAGTACTGATAAAAGACAACATTAAGACATGAGACAACATTAAGACTGCAATACAGTTATCAAATGTTTCCACTTTGCACGGAATGAAGGCAGAGCGTTATTCTTCTTTGCAATAATCTCTTCAACATTAAAAACATCTTTGACAGTTTTCCTAAAACCTTCTATTGTTAACATATTTTGTTTAATGCCTGTGATATGGATATATTTTTTGGCTAATAAGATTATATGTGATGTCAATAAGCCATAGGAGCTATTGCAAGAGAGAATATCAGAATCTGTAATCACAATATCAAAACTGATATACTGCTTGAAAAAAGTCTGGAGAAAAAATCAGACTTGGCTCTTGGTCCACCACCTGTTGGGGGTCTCATATATAAGTTTCTCTTTGCCTTGGCTAAAAATATACATTCTTGTAAATACATTATGAAATCATAACATGTTGGAATAAGTACACACGTACTTGTACATAACTGAGAATGTTCAACATGATATCATCAATAACAGTAAAAGCTTTAATTGCATTTTTGAACAATAAACTATATATTCTGATATAAAGTTGTGTCATGTGAAGCTTGCAATATTAATATAGATAGTTCCATATCAGTTAATTGTAATATATTAAATTACTGTTTCATATTACATAATGATTTTGGTCGGATGGAAATTGAATAAAATTGATTTCAAGTATCAGAATATAAATTTTACCTTTCTGTTTGATATTTTGATACTTTTTATTTATTTCACTCAGAGTTCTAAAGTCCAGATCGACCCCTTCTGCAACAAGCAAATGTCTCCCAGACTGTTATTTCTGGGATGTGCAGGTTATATGATAATATGTATACGAGATACGTAGATATGTTTGATAAGCCATGTTGGATTATTAACAGTCACTACATGCATGGTCAATGTTGTAGACTGTACGTCTTTGGTCAAAATACTGTCCTAAATGATCATTCAGAATAAGCTGATATTTCAATAATACTTTGACGAATAAACACAAGAAGGTTTTTGTGTTCACGTATGTCGAAATCACATTTAGGTTGAGGAGTAATTTAGAAACTATTAGTCCAGCTACTTTGGTTATTCTCACGAGTTGATGAGGCGGCGATTTCTTCCCAGGCTTTGGTTTTCTTCAGTGTGCTCCTTTGGCTTCCGTCCAAACGACCGAAGAGAAGACCCTCCCTCTTAGTCACTTCCTCAACTAGGATAACCTCCTCTTCCTTTGTCCAGTTGACTTTTCTTTTACTTGTTGCGTCCATATTTGCTAAAGCAGACGAGCTGTCATCGGCACGAGCTGTCATCGACACGAGCTGCGTGTTTACAAACAACGGAATATTCGCATCTCCGTTTGCTGAAGAGTTCCGCTGTTACCGTACTTACGCGAAAATATTTCACACGTTCTTTTTGTTGATATTTAGTTATTTAACGGGGATGGAAATGTGCGTGCAGGTGCCTTGTGGTCTTCTTTCACTAAAGAACCCCCTTACATGATGATAGCATTCTGAGAAAAGCGTGGATTACCATGGTGACACACTTAAGCTTAGTCTGACTTAAGATTTGCTAAGACCGTTTCATGATCCAGTCTCAGCACGAGTCTTAGCTAAGCAAAAACAACCCAAATTTAAGACAAATTTCGTGCTGAGCATTTTTCAGACTTAAGACACTTTCATGATCCCGGGGCCAGGAGATATTAATGACTGCTGATTTCCCTGCTGAGGCTGCTTCTGTTTGGGCATCATTGTATAAATATATGCTTCTTTATTACTAATCAATACACTCACGTCGTCCATCGATGTTTTCTTGCTGTGAAATGGCATGAAGAAATACATACAAAGATGAATATTAATGCTAGCAGCATATCATAGAAGGTTCAGTTCCATAACGTACTGACAGCACATTAGCTACAAGTAGTTGTCTTGTTTCATGCTGGTTCGTGTTTAATGCAAAAACTTTAATTTTCAGAATTTCCATGACGCTGAGCTGCGACATGCAGTTACAAAAATACCCGTTTGATGATCAAGTGTGTTCGATACTTCTAGAAAGTTGTGAGTAATTACATACCACTTATCATATTGGAGTGAGTGAGTGAGTGAGTTTAGTTTTACGCCGCACTCAGCACTATTCCAGCTATATGGTGGCGGTCTGTAAATAATCGACTAGACTATTGTCGACCACTGGACCACACAATCCAGTGATCAACAGCATGAGCATTGATCTGCGCAAGTGGGAACCAATGACAAGTCAGCGAGCCTGACCACCCGTTAGTCGCCTCTTACGACAAGCATAGTCGCCTTTGTGTCAAGCATGGGTTGCTGAAGAGCTTTTCTACCCCGGATCTTCACCGGTCTCTTATCATAATGGGGTATGATTAGAAAAGCTTGTTTCTGGTTGAACTGCATCCTCGATAATCTCCAGGGTATACGTTCCGATAAATCTTCACTAAAAATTATCGGGCCGACCCGTAGATCCACCCCAGGGTATACTGGAGATTTATCGGAACGTATACCCTGGAGATTATCGAGGATGGTTGAACTGTGGTGGCATGGAATATACCTGTCAAGATTCGTTGTGAAACAAATCATTTATTGAGTTGAAATCAAATTTCTATATCTCCAGGATGCCACCTTAAACCACATTATCTTTCATTCAAACATTGGCCTTGTGTTCGTGTTCAAGTGAAGACGTGGAAATAATACAAGGTTAAGGTTAAAAACAAGGTATGTTATACAAGCTACAATATGTTTCAGATAGCTACTCAACCAAGAACGTCATCTTCGCGTGGCACGACAACCCGATAGTCAAAAGGAGTGATCTATCCCTACCTCAGTTTGACCTGATTGGCTGGACCACCGACGACTGCACTAAAACATACGTCAGTGGTAGGTGTACCTACAGTCATACACTGATTGAATATACCTGATACATGTATACAATGATTACATAGTACCGGCTTAATATGTCGGGACCTATGCTGAAGAATGATGCGAATTTTATGGATATACTTCTTTATTTGGGAAGGACGACGTTTCGACATAGATTCTAATGTCGTTGTCAAGTGATGTTGATGAGTTTAGTGATGTTTTTTCTAAAGGTTTGAATCTAATCTTTGATTAGCATCTGTCTGGATGCTTCGAAGCTTGCTTGACAACTCGCTTGATTAGGTGCCTGATTCTGAGTGTGTGGGTTCGAATCCCGGATGGGACTCAACCAAACAAAAATACTACAATCTGTACTTTACTAAGAAAGCCGAACCATATGGAGGTGAAATTGTAATTGAATTTGTCAACGATGATACCGGAATAACTTCCTATTTATTTATCACACAACATAAATGTAAATAACGGTACAAGGTCAGTGACCGAGCGCAGGATTGCACCCCAAGCCCCGTTCAGCCAAGTATCAGCCAATCAAATACCATAAAGTCACCTGCAACTGATCTATTTACAGGCAACTACACGTGCATCCGCGGGGACTTCCAGCTGTCCCGCAACTTCGGCTACTACATTGCACAGGTGTATGTCCCCAGCATTCTTATAGTCATCTTATCCTGGATGTCTTTCTGGCTGGACATTGATGCAACGCCTGCTCGCATTTCATTGGGCCTCCTCACAGTTCTCACCATGACAACACAGAGTTCCGGTGCACGTGCAAGCCTTCCACGTGTGTCCTATGTCAAGGCCATAGATGTATGGATGGCAATGTGTTTGATTTTCGTGTTTGCAGCCTTATTGGAGTTTGCTTACGTCAACGTCATGGCGAGAGTGGAACGACGTCGTCAGACCATCAGCGGAAACAGCCGACCGTCAGTGTCGGTCGAGGAACTGGCCCTGGAGGTAAACAGATGGTGGTGATTTCAGCGTGCAATATTCATAATTGTCAGACCATAATCGTTTCAGGTGCTGACAATGTTTGATGTCCACGTTGTGTAAATGGTAGTTGTGAGACTGTTCTTATTCCGATATGCCTTAAATGTTCTTAAAAATCAAGCACTGTGGTCCAAATAACAACTTTATTCTGAAAATTAACTCACTCACGTACATGGATCCCATTTCCCCTGTTTTTTAACACAGGACAAGGTGGTTGGACGGTGTTCGTACATTTGGGCTGATATTGGGTTTTTTTTCAAGTAAAACACAACGCAAAGCCAGACAGTTGTTCAAAGATGTGTCGGTATTTGTAGAATTTTGACAAATGTGGGAATTTCTTTATATGTTAAGACCTGTCATATACCGGCCACTTCACTTGATACGTGAAATATGAACGCTATGCCATAATTCGAAAACATAGAAGTAGTGTTTATCCTCTCGAGATAACACATGTCATGTGTAGTTTTATAGGGGTAGTTTTATGCCGAGTCTCCAATACTGCTTCTATGCGAGGCTTCGGTGAAATTTTAATATACATGTTGGCTTTAGATAACTTTGTTCCATTTATTCATTCGTCCTGAGTTGCAGCCAAGGATATATAATTATTTACTTGTTTTGGCATTTCAGCTAGAAAAACAGAACGGCGCACGAGGGCGAGGGCGTCGTGGGCTGTCAAAGGTTTCAATGATGAGACAAAAGGCACGCTTAATGGACAAAATATCTCGGTACCTCTTCCCCGGGGTGTTCCTGGCTTTCAACATCATCTACTGGCTGGTGTACATGCTGTGGGAGAACTCCAATACAGACTAGTGGCATTGTCGCCAGCAGATAGCAAGGTTACGTCCCTTTGAATGATTCGGCTGAATGTGGCAGTCCTTGGAATACACCATTACACGTCGTCATGGACGATCAGCGGCAGCCTTTTCTCACCTTAGAACATAGTATTACAAGGATTGCCTACCTTGTGAAGCAATATGTGTGAGAATCGCCATGTGGAGGCGTGCGATAGTGGTGTGCCCCCTGAATCGACATATATATGTGTGCTCGAGTTATCTCCCATTGTGTGATTTCGCAGAGGTTGTGAACAGTCCAGGGCGATCTCAGTGTTCAACGCACTGTTAGGGGTGGCATAATGCATCCATACTGAGAGGTATTGCAACATATTCCCATATGCATTTCTGTGATTTGTCTTCTTTGGGAGGGTTTCGAATTTCATCACACGTTAATGAAGATTACCGTTTTATGAAGTTTATCTTTGTTGGGTTGAATTATTTCTTACAGAGACTACACTACATGACGAGACGTGTTTGTGATGTTTATAGATGTGTATCACGCCATGACACCTTCACTTTGTCACACATCACGTTCTTGTGTGACTTCAATTCAGACAATGGGAAGGAAAGATATGGATTTTGAAAGATATGAAGTTCAACAGGACGTCTTTTGTATTTCCCCAATACAATGCCCATTCTCACTGACACATGTTTCTACTTATCTAGCAGGTTGTTTTTTTCACATCATTCTTCATTTTTGCTGGAGACACTGCTTCCGGTGTTGTTGTCACTAACTGCAAAGCATGCAGCCGTGTTATTTAAGGCTTCACTCTATTTATTCCTCATGCCTCCTTACACACAGGAATCTCACTTTCATGTTACTTCAAGTAATTGTAAAACGAAAATTTGTACAATTATTTATTGCATATTTCATGTATTTTTGTAATAAATATTGACGGAATGGTCAGTGTTTTTGTATAAAACAAAACGCAAGGAACAACGATCGATTCCTTACAACGGCCTGGCACATTCAGAGGCTCTTCTCCAGCTGTTGGGTGACGAGTGGTCTGTCATACAGACCCTGAAACAAACATATCCTAGAAAGCCCATGCAAGTCTAGATTATGCGGCAAGTCTAGATTTCCACGGATTCTGAAAATAAGGAAGGTCTCGGGGCTCCTTTTCATTATATTCTATTTTTGTTATTATGAACTGGGTTTGTTTCTGTAAAATATGTTTATTTCCGAGACTAGTTAGTCCAGCTGATGAACAGTACAGAATGTACTCCAGACAATACATTTATACCGCGCTGTTGTCGAGCCGCAAAACCTCGAGATCTCAACCGTCAAGTGGGGGTTCATCGGCTTTCAGGAGAAAATAAGATGTGCCGTTTTCATTCAAGTTTTCACTATACACAGAGAGAATATGCATTAAATAAAGTATTACTCTTTCACAGAAAGAGGTCTCAAGTCAGTTCTTCGTTATAATAAAACAATCTGTACTCAGAACAGATTTCAGTTTTGTTCTTAAACCTTTATAGTAGATAAAGTACTGTCATGTGCCCTGTGTGGACGTGGACACCTACAACCTTTGCTGGTCGTAACAGGTCACTTGATGTATGGGGATATAAGGCTCGGTAACTTGGTGACAGGGTGCCAACCTGCCCAAACGGCATGGATCGTTTGTCATCATGTTAATGACTGGATTATATAGTCCAGGTTCGAGTATTTCCGGCCCCATCATATAGGTGCAATAGTACGGAGTGAGTGAGTGAGTGGTAGTTACAGTTGTTGAATGGTAACAGTAGGGGTAGTAGTGGCAGCAGCAGTAGTAGTAGTGGTAGTAGTAGTAGTAGTAGTGGTAGTGGTGGTTGTAGTAGTAGTGGTGGTGGTGGTTGTAGTAGTAGTAGTGGTGGTTGTAGTAGTAGTAGTGGTAGTAGTAGTAGTAGTAGTGGTGGTTGTAGTAGTAGTGGTGGTGGTTGTAGTAGTAGTGGTAGTTGTAGTAGTAGTGGTTGTAGTGTAGTAGTAGTAGTGGTGGTGGTTGTAGTAGTAGTGGTAGTTGTAGTAGTAGTGGTTGTAGTAGTAGTAGTGGTGGTTGTAGTAGTAGTAGTGGTGGTGGTGGTAGTAGTGGTAGTTGTAGTAGTAGTGGTTGTAGTAGTAGTAGTGGTTGTAGTAGTAGTAGTGGTAGTGGTGTGTAGTAGTAGTGGTGGTGGTGGTTGTAAGTGGTGGTGGTTGCCAGTGGTAGTGTAGTAGTAGTGTTGTCGGTGGTTGTAGTAGTAGTGGTGGTGGCGTAGTGGTTGTAGTAGTAGTGGTGGCGGTGGTTGTAGTAGTAGCGGTGGCGTAGTAGTTGTAGTAGCAGTAGTGGTGGCGGTGGTTTTAGTAGTAGTAGTGGTTGTAGTAGTAGTAGTGTCGGTGGTTGTAGTAGTAGTAGTGGTGGTGTCGGTGGTTGTAGTAGTAGTAGTAGTGTCGGTGGTGAGTAGGTGGTAGTAGTAGTAGTGGTGGTGGTGGTGGTAGTTGTAGTAGTGGTGGTGGTGGTTGTAGTAGTAGTGGTGGTGGCTTAGTAGTAGTGGTGTGGGTGGTTGTAGTAGTAGTAGTGGTAGTGGTTGTAGTAGTAGTGGTTGTAGTAGTAGTAGTCGAGTGGTCGTAGTAGTAGTAGTGTAGTGTGGTGGTTGTAGTTGTAGTGGTGGCGGTGGTGGTTGTAGTAGTAGTGGTGGCGGTGGTTGTAGTAGTAGTAGTGGTGTTTGTGGTGGTTTTAATTTGTGTTAGTTGTCACTCTGGGCACAACATCACACAGCGGTCTGGAGGTAATCGAGTCTCGAACAATCCAGTGACTGACATGAAGACCATCAAGCCACACACACTCACGGGGTACGATTATATGCACTCACTGAAGGTGACATCCATCATTATAGTGGCCTCCTACAACAACCATAGGTTGCTGAGGACCAGGATTAGGGTGTGTGTCGGTACCTTCATGTATAACAGCTTCTACTGTCAAACCAGTTCGGCAAGTTAGTCATCAATACACCAGGTGTCGGGAATCACCTTCTTTTGTCGGAGACCTTAAAGGACGTAAGGGATCGGTTCATTACCCGGGATGAGATTTGGCAAATTTTATTGTTCGGATTTGAAAAACCCAGATTCATGAATTTACCCCTTTCTCATGTCAAAGAACACTGCACAAAGAGTAATATTTGTCACACAATGATTAAACACTTAGAGAAGCCCCTGAGAAAATTGCTGCTTCAGGCTGTTAAAGTGATAAAATGTATGACCCTCAGAGGTGTCTGCTTCACACTGTCCAAGTGGTAAAATGTTTGTCCCTGAGAGATATCCCAAAAATGTTGAATTGCTGAAATAAAACGATCTAGATGAAGTTATAGTCAGTACTTTGTCAGACCGAAACAGACTATAAGTTAATCCCCTATTGTTTAAGGAATTATCGCGCATCAGTGAATTTTTATCTCGAACAAAAGCGTCCGGCAAAACGGGAGCCCCCCCATGATCTGTAGGGTTTTTGGGAGGTTTCCGCTGCTGAGGTGTGTAGATCCTGAGTGGTTGTTGGCGTTTCGTTTATTAGTTTAGGTTGTTTTTGGTGTTTTTGTTTGTTTGTTGTTGTTTTTTTTATTGTTTGGAGCCGGCTGAGTGAATTTGTTAGACTTTTAAAATCTTTGTTTGACGACCGGGTTATGGAGCGTTGTTACTATCCCCAAGAGTTCAGCCGTGAAAATAGATTGGTGTTCTGGGAGTCTGTACGATTTAGTTTCCTAGAGGGTTATGACGTGTGGGTGCCGAAGCCTGTGCGGTTTGTATCCGGGTCAATGGATCCGTCTGTGTTTATGTGGCAACAATTTGGCGAGAGTCCATGTATCAAGCTGTCAAAATCATATACCTGACCGTACTCAACCTTAAATTCGGAATACAACCTTCTCCCTTCAGGCCGCCGCTACAAAGTTCCAATTGTGAAAACTAAGAGAGCCCGTACATCCTTTATTCCAAGTACCATATCTCTCTTAAACAAATGTGAAGATACCTAAATCAAAGAATTTATGTAAATATGTTTGGTATCTCTCTAATGTGTCAGTAGCTCTGCTGATGTAACACAAATTCCTGAAAAGACATTAAAGTATTATTCTATTCTATTCTATTCTATTCTATTCTATTCTATTCTATTCTATTCTATTCTATTCTGTGTAAGGTATTGTTGTGTTTTGCGCATTGTTAGGGTTTGTTTGTCTATTTATTTCGGAGAATGTTTAGTTTAGGGGTGAAGATACTGAAAGTGTTGCTGTTTTGTTTAGCCTATTTAGGTTGTGTTCAGTTATGAGGTTTGTTACGATATTGTGGTCAGGAGTGGGTTTTGCGGACAAGCGCGTGGACTTTGGGGTCTATAATTGTTTTTATGAGTTTGGCTGAGGGGTTTGTTTGGGTAAATGCCCAGAAGGTTATGGTTAACTGTTCTCGTCTAAGTTCTGATGGTATTTCGCCTGTTATTGCTTGCAATGAGATTAGTGACGTTCCTCGCTGTGTACATGTGATCGTTTTTAGGGTGTTGTATTGTATTGGGTGTATTTTCCCAGTGGTATATGTTAACAATGTTTCTGGTTTCATTTTGGTTTGTTATTTGGATACCACTGGTTTTAGGTTAGGAGTAATTGCGTCTATCTCTGTGTGATTTATGTCCTCCTTGACATATATGATCAAACCTCCGCTGGCTCTACCGAGACGATATGTGACTTGGTCGAGTCTTACTGATTTATACTGGGCTTATGTGAATGTTTGCTTGTGAATACATGCAAAGTGTTACATTATTTAAGGTTTTGCTGTTTGTTAGTTCTGGTGTTTTGGTTTGGTGCTGAGGTTTGTTTTGTAAGACACAAGTGGTATATCAGATGTTTCGTGTTGTGTGGTGTTTGATACACCACCTTCTTGTATATATATATACTGAATGTAACAAAGAAAACATCATGATTAACATAATTGGCTAGGCAGTAAGATGTTAAAGCCAGTGTGTTTACAAAGGTAAAGGCTTGGAAGCCAGAGTTGTACAAATCAAGGGGTAGTTTGAAAAGGAGGAGATGTTTCTACAGGTAGAATGAAGTATCCTTGATCTCGGTTGATGGTGGACTTTTGGCGTTTGATGTGAATGGATTCGGTTAGTTTGCGTTTGGTGAAGTCCGTTTGATTGTTAGCAAGAATGGTGACGTCAGACTAGTCTATTTGGTGATTGGGGTTTGATTTGATGTGATCATAGACGGCCTCTATACTGTGGGAACAACAACCCGAAATGAATCATTAATAAATTAAATTGTGATTGCGGACAGAGCAACATAGGCGAAACATCCCTCCCCATCTACACCCGCGTCAACCCAATAACATATGTGAAAATAATCGTCATAATATTCTCACAAGATGGGTTATGATATATATATGGCTAAAGATTTGTACTTTTACGTTCTATTTGGCTCGGATCTATTGTTTAATCATGTAAAGCACGGGGTGACATGGAGAAAATGCCATTGTTTCAAAACAGAAGGGATGAGCTTCAGTGAGTTGCCCGTGGGCAAATGGTGGTCACGTTTGGAGTAACTGTAGCTTGCATGAGCGAGTCGCAGGGGCAGTATTGGGGATACAAATAGGGCGTTACAGCTGCAGTTTTTATACATAAACTGGATCAGTGGTAAGAACGAAGGTAAGTGGACTGTAGCTGTCAAAGTATCTCAATGGCAGGGTAGATTTTCGAAAAATGCATGTTTAAACATGTATTTAATTCATTTAGGGATAACAAAATACTTAGAAACTTACAATCCGGTTTTAAGCCAGGCGATTCAACAATAAATCAATTAACGTACCTGTATGACTTTATAGTGGGTACATTAGATAGCGGCAAGGAAATTAAGGCTGTATTTTGTGACGCAAGTAAGGCTTTTGACAAGGTCTGGCATAAATCTATCATACATAAGCTAAGGCGTTATGGTATCGGGGGTAACTTGTTGAAATGTTCTGAGAGTTATCTAGACAATAGAGTTCAGCGAGTTGTTATAAATAGTTGCACGTCTGATCAAAGATCAATCTTTGCCGGGGTTCGACAAGGCTCTGTCTTAGGACCCCTGTTGTTTATAGTTTATAGCAACGACATCGTTGAATGAGTTAACAGCAATATCGTCTCTTCGCAGATGACTCATCACTTTATTCTATAATAGACGATCCTGATGGAACTGCTCTGTGTCATAATAATTATCTGATTTCTGATTGAGCTGACAAATGGCAAGTAACATTTAATCCTAGTGTAACAGATTCTATACAATTTTCTCGTAAAGTACAGTCCAGCCCAAAGCGAAATTTCGTAATGAAGGATAGCAATATTAATGACGTTAATAGTCATAAACATTTGGGACTTACTTTACAGCATGATTGTTCCTGGACAGACCATGTTAACTGTATTGCTAAAAAGGTTGTACCCGTGGTAAACTGTCTTAGAGACTTTAAATATCGTCTCTCACGTAAAACCCTACAAACAATATACAAACAATTTATTTGCCTATTTTCGATTATTGTTGTCACATTTGGGACGACTCTACCAAACAGCAGGAACTACCACTTGACGAAAATGTATGGTGAGACAAATTTCAAACCACTATGCACGCGAAGATATAAAATGAATATCAATTTAACTCAAACATATTTGAGTAATCTCGTCCCTTCTAAGGTATCTGACACTTCAAACTACAATTTCCGAGACCGTTCGAAACTTCAAACTATCGATTGTAAAAGTGCAAATTATGCCAAGTCATTTCTCCCAGATAATGTAAACTTGTGGAATTCTTTGGCTACCGACCACAGAGAATCTACTACCGTGGGTATTTTTAAGAAACAAATTAATGTTCTACAACTACTTCAATCCAGATTTTGTCAGATTATCCATTCACGCCTCAGGCTCGGATGCACCGATCTAAACGCACATAAATATAAACGATGTATATCTTCAAATCCCTCTTGTTCTTGTGGTTATTGTCACAAAGATCCAATTCACTATTTCTTTTCAAGCGTTAATTACACTGTTATAAGAAATAGCATGTACTTTTAAGCTAAAGGATGTGACATAAATTCATTACTATACAGCCACTTTAATAGATCTACTAAAGATAACCTTGAAATATTAGAATCTGACCATTCTTCCATTGTATTGTCAGGCAGATTTGTGTTGTTGGTAGTTAAAATGAAATTGCACTAACTAATACTTTCTGGCACTAATAGTTGTAATATTATAAGCAGAAAACTAGTGTTTGTTTGTTAATTACATGTTTTACTCTTCACGATTGTTATATTTATACTGTATTTGTATAACCAGAGACCATATAATATATGGTCTCTGGTATAGCGGGGCGCTATTGAGATACCAATCCGGTCCCACTTCTGGAAATAGATATTTTTAAACCACTGTCAGGGTAGTTCTAACGTTTGAAGATAGATGAATGTTTTAAACCACTGTCAGGATCCCATGGACGGGGACTCCGTATCGTGGTAACTGTGTCACTAGTTGTGAGAGTGTTATGAAAGTGTCACCCATGGACGGGGACACCCGTATCGTGGTAACTGTGTCACTAGTTGTGAGAGTGTTGGTAAGTGTGATCCCATGGTGAGTATGTTGGTCGTATTGTGGTTGGTGGTTGGTGTGAAAGGTGTATTTATATTTGTGTGGTAAAACACCCAACATGGTTGTGTGGTATTGGAAGGAAATGATGAAAATGAGGCATTCGGCAGAGTGTAAAGTATCGCGGATCTATGTCTATACCTGGAAATAACTCAGTTTTAGTAACCGTATCCTCAAAGGGGGTTAAAGTATTTGAAAATTATTGTCCTCCTGAGAGGATACGTAAGTCCCAAAACATTCAAAGTATATTTAATCTTGCCACTTTGTAGTCGTAGAATATGTGTGCTTTTAATGTATGGGTAGATTTATCTAAATTGCTAACGGCTGAAGGGATGGTGTAAATCCAGCTAGCAAATGTTCTGTAATTCCCCATGGTCCCTAGTATGGTGATCTACCTTCAGTTGTTGGCAATCTATAACCTGTTTTTACATGCATTTATGGTGAATTTAAACTTGTTTTAGTCACGATATGGCTGAAATATTGCCGCTGTGACTGTAAATCTTAACTCACTCACTGAAGTGTCAGGCATGACAGACTTTGCCACACAGAACACGCTTCTCTGTTTGTTATCTTTCCTAAATTTGCATGATAAATATGGTTGATGTTGACTTCAGTCACTTCTGAGGGAAGAGACTTGAAGTTTGTGCTTTCTGAGGTGAGGTGAACTTGTTAGGTGTAACTGATGTGTCGGAGGCCTTGATCGTATCGCCAGTAATCTGGTAGCCGATGCATATACGGGTAATTGATGCAGAATGGCGAGGCGGAACATGAATCAGTGATAAGGGTTACCTTTTGAATAGTGAGTTGAGGTTACGATGCTTTGCCTAGTAGCCCGTGTATATGATGGCGGTACTTTATAAAACACAATGAGCAAGAGAGGTTCGTAAACTACACTTGAGTGAATACAGTAACAGTGGTCAGTGGGTGGCCATCTATTGACCGCTGCATGTACAAACCGAATCTGTAGACAAGCTGTTACGGCAGTGAGTGGTGCAAGATAACGGCCATCAGCATCTGACAGCACAATACTGGAGGACGTGACATATTCATCATTACTACTGAATTGCTCAAGTATCTGAAAAATATATATGATAAGGTGTGATGTACGCAAGAATCGCTTCAGTTGTGAATACATCAGCATATAATTTAGTTCATGTTAATGAGTTTGAGATATCAGTTATGTGCCACATTAGGCCGAAATTTACAGAGAACGGATAAGTGTATGACATTTACATACATAAAATATACTTAAACATACACATGCACATATATATGTTCAACCTAGCGCAAAGGAGGTAATATATCTCGACCTGTCAAACATGATGTCTGTTTGTGACAGGATGACAGAAGGGACCTCTGAGAGTTGCATAAATTTGGACAGCATGAAACGAGCGGATACCGGGGAACTATGGGAAAGCATGGCTCTCACCACTCAGGACAGCTCAGAGGTACGTTCATCTTTCTTGTGCAAGAAGACTAATCTACTGTATAACACAAGTACACAAATATTAATGAAACTATTGAAGACTAACAAACAAACCAGTCGTAGTAATGTATTCCGGTGTGTTCGTTACACACTAAGAGCAAATATGACATGTTATTGATAATTGTCCATTTGAAAGTCCCATTGCCTTCATAGAAACAAGTCTCCCTGTCATCATTGCGGTCAACCGTCTCGCAAATGCCATGCATATCCGGGCTTGAATAAGACAACTAATAAACAGTCCCGAGAACTACCATACCAAATGGGACATGTCTTAAGCATAACTTCAATGACTCATAAATCCCATAGATCATAGATTTTACCAATAACGTTCAGATGTTCGTTCCCATTATTTAGTACTAATATTACATTTGTGGCGTGTTACCTGGGTAAAAGCATATACAGGGAATACTGAACGAGTCCTGTGAAGATATATGCCAACATCTTGGAAGTTATTCTACATATAGCAGGACAGCATATTACATGTTTCCACATTAACAAGTCTTGAATATGAACAGATCAAGTTCAAGGGTAGGTGGATTTCGTAACAGCATTAAATGTTAGCATCTGTTTAAAGTGAACAGATCCTAAACATGGAAAATGGAAGGGCATCCACTGTGACTATGATGAGTGTAAGTGTTGATGTATATGATTATCTCATGATTGAAAGGCACTGTACGTGTATTCTAAAGTCAGATATCTACCGCACGAAAGCCCAGTCGACTGAGGATCTTATTTTTTATCCTGCCATTGTTTACAGCAGTTTTAACGCCAACAAGCTAATGAAAGGCTCAGATGAAACGGCGAACTACATACACTAGACCAGACTGGACTCGTATTGTTTATTGGTTGGAGAACATGAATACCTAGCTGAACGGTATTCGGACTCAAGTGGTCACCCATCGACTTTGAAAACATGTTTCTTATCATTCCAATTGCTCCCCTGCTGTCGGGCCCCGTTCGTGGGTCGAATGTATTACAGAAAGGTTAAAATCTAATAGAATGGTTCCATTACTCTTTACAAACTGTCATCTTACGGAATGCTTGCTCCAGTTTTTGACAGAATTCAACTCACGATTGTTGACATGAAATATACGGGAGCAACAAATCTCCCTTGTTGATACTGGGGTCGTTCATACAATGCACAAGCAGACCACGCGACAAAACAGTGAACGTTAGGAGTTTCCAGAGAAATATTGGTGGGATGTTTTTTTCTGAAACTGTCAAGCAAACGAGAGAGAATATCCATTTTTGACGTGGCTCAAAATGAATCCTAGGCGGTATTATATAATGTATGGAATGCTTAGTTTTTTAACAAAAATGCGACAACGCGACAATTTCATTAAAATTATCAGCTTTTATTAGTTATTGCTGTATTTTAAAAAATATAACAAACATTATACATTATTTACGATGTTTGGGAAGGGCAGAGATACATAGGGATCGAACTCTATTATCGAACATTAATTAATGAGGTTACATGTGGCCATGTAGAAGGGGTTTACTCCCAAAACGCAGACCTCCCAAAACGCAGACCTTCCTGGCCTGGTCCACTCCCCTACTGTAAGGGATTCCCGCTATGTTGCGTCACTGAGGCATTGTCTTAAAATACAGCTTCTCTCTTTAATCTGCTCTTGATGACTGATAAACTAGGAATGATTGATATTGTTGTTAGGAAGATTGTGACTGATGAACAAAGCATGATTGACACCGAGTGTGATAAAGTGTATAAATGAAATTTCATTGGTAACAACTTTGAAATAGTATTGACAGACAGACAGACAGGCAGACAGACAGAGTTTATCTCCAGTAAAGGCTGTAGGCCCAAAATACATTCAAAAAGAAATTCCAGTGTCGTCAGGGGCACAATGATCTTTCAAGTGTGTTTACAATAATCATTTTAAAGTAAATTAGATACAAGGCAACAGATTTTACAGTGTCTACAATAGTATTCTTGAAAAGATTTGCTAAAGAATATACAGTGTTAGGCTTTTTAACAAATTTTGTAATATACCTCTCTCTGAGTTGTGAATAGGATTCACAAATGAACAGTACATGGAATTCATCTTCAAAATAGGTTAGACCTTTAGATTTACATGATGTACAGAGTCCTTGATTATAGTCATTGCTTTACAAAAAACTCGAGAACTAACAAGTTTTGGTGTAAATATAATGCCAAGATATTTATAAAAAGATACTATTTGCTCCCCATTAAAATACCACTTTTCATAACATCTAAGAGGCCCTCCATTTCTGAAAACAACCACTTTTGTTTTCTTAAGATTTACTTTCATTCATGTTGCCATGCATTCCTGACGGGTACCGTCCTGACGGGTACCCACATTACAGGAACATTGTTTAGAAAGTCCCTCAGGGGTTCTTACACAGTCACAAAGTGAACTATACATACAGGTAATAATATCTAAAAGCTTCCCATCTAATCCAACCTTACGAAGAGAATCTATAAGTATATCATGTTTAAGTGTAAGCTTTTGAAAAATTGATAAAAAGACAACACAATCTACTCTGTTTTTACATGAATATTTCTGTATGATAGCCTGAAGTGTAAACATGTGGTCCGTTGTAGAATGGTTTACCCTGAAACCACTGGGCTGACATTCACAAATGATATTTAAATCGCACCAGATTACATAAATATGAAATATAGGATCACTTGCTACATTGTCAAAACTCGTTACATGGGTAATGTCATTTTTCTTAATCAAGGGTACAGCCTACTAATCACGGATGCAAGTGTTGTTTTAACGGGATACCGTGGAAGGAGCAAAGTCTGTAGGTTACGGGGCGTTGGTTACTGGAAGTTTGATGTATTCAGCAGGGATGGGATCACCCGGCTATCTGCAGATGCGATACCTATATCGTTATACTTGATTATCGGCTATTTTGTTGAAAATGAAAATGAATGAATAGATCTGTGTTTGAAACAAGACGGGACTAAAACACCAATCGATACAGGTACATGTATATCGCGTATCTTATCGATGCGTCGATGTTATGTGAACCATGGCATGTCCAGGATTAAATATGTAGGAATTACATGGACTTGAAAAACAGACTCCACAACACATTATTGCGATGAAATATCTTGCTAATTTACCAAGGCTCCCTTAGCCTCGTTTAATTGAAAATGATATCGAGAAAGTGAGTGAGTACAGGTTTCTGGCACTCCTACCTTACGCCACTTTACAAAGCGAATTAATGTTTTGATATATCATAATGATAACAGTCTATTTGTATGGCGTTTTTCCACGTAGAATATCACGTTCAAAGCCCTTTATTACGCCGGCAATTCTCAGCCCCATACGAGTATACGACCCAAGCTGTGTTTGAGGTGCTGGAGGGTCATATTACCATCTCATTCTACCTGGATTCCACCCACTGCTGGCTGAACAGAGGCATAGTTCGAACAGATTCAGTTGGTCAGAGAGGCAACACATGTATTGTATGTGCAGCAGTGTGGGACTGGAGGAATGTCTTCAGAGATGAATGCATATAGCGCTGGGATTCGAACCAATAACCATGAACAATGACCGACATTTACAATATATGAAGTTTCCAAAGCAACAATGAATTCGAAAGATTTTCTTTAAGTTCAAGAAAAGCAACCCCCATTGTCAGTACTACCTCGGTTGTAAAACCATTGGAGGTAACACAAGACAGGAATCTGAAAAAGAGTAAATATTTTGCGCTTGCGTAGACTAATTAACTTTCTACACACTACATGAATGATATGGTTGGTGGTGAACAACGGATATAACATATGATGCGCGTTATAACAGTTATCATTGTTGTTATACAAACAACGTTTGTAGTCGTACCGTACACTAGTGTCGATGCAGCAGGCTCCTGCTTGTGTTGTAGGCCGCCATCAACAACAACAGCACCGTGGTGATCAGCATGAAGACAATGCAAGAGTGTAAGGCTGTCGAGGAGGACGTGGTACATGGCACCGAGAATATGAATGTTGTTGACGATGATGACTTCAGTGACGCCGAGGACGAAGAGGAAGACAACTGTTGTTCCAGGAAGACCTCATCTCTGCGGACCTGCCTCCGGTCCTCAGTGCCAGCATGTATTCAGGGACGATGTGGAACTATCATCAAGTGCTCACTGCTGGTTCTGTATCTCATATATTTTGTCTTTTCCATGGTGTTGACGTTTGGCGATGAAGGCTCTATCAGGCTCCTGGCCTTCACTGTGTTTGGAGGTGTGTTACTCATCACTAAAGTTGTGAGAAAAACATCATCCCAAGATACAACTGGACTGAGAGAAAGCTTACATTCCATGATAAGAAAGTGATCGCAAAGGCCAGGAGAATTGCAAGATGGTTAGTGGTCCCACCGATATGTATATTTATAATGTGTAACATATCTAAGAGTACCGAATGGAGTGACAGATTGGTTTGTGTCGATTATATGGAGTGTCAATATCATATATATCCCTCTCTGTGATATAAATAAATATGTTTTACCAGCTGGCATTGTGCATGTGAGCTCGGAACGATTAATCTTTCCATGCACATCAAAACCTTCAAATGATAATGGACGCAGTATTGTCAACCGTCACTAGCTGTTCTAAACCTTTCAAAGAAATAACCGTTCAGTCACAATGCCCTGAAGAGTATCAGAATTACCGTCGGCGGTGCTGCTGGTTTAACAGGACTTCCAGGAGTTCAAAGTACTTAACTAGTGTGCAAGTCCTTACATGGCTTCCTTTCGTAGCTGTTAATTTGTAGTTCGGTTTCCCTACATGTACGCAGATGCACTATATGTACATATGGGTAGACTTATAACTATACAGTTGACTTGCGTCTTAGTTTCCATGAACGTATATAGCTGTTGACGTGGACCTCGAGCTTCCTAGTGAAAACAGTTAATTTTGAATATACACAATGCCATATCATCCCTACTATACGATTTAGTAGGGATTACATTTTCTTAGTAAGTACAGATTCTAGCACTTTTTGGGGTTGTAGCGAATAGGGTCCTGACTCTGAGTGTGTGGGTTCGAATCCCGTATGGGCTCAATCCCTTAAAAGTACTATAGTCTGTAGTTTTACGACCCGTGAAGATCCGGGTTAGAATACTGATCTTCAGTTACCCATGCTTGTCGTAAGAGGCGACTAACGGGATCGGGTGGTCAGGCTCGCTGACTTGGTTGACACATGTCATCGGTTCCCAATTGCGTAGATCGATGCTCATGCTGTTGCTCACTGGATTGTCTGGTCCAGACTCGATTATTTACAAACCACAGCCATAAAGCTGGAATATTGCTAAGTGTGGCATAAAACTAAACACACTCACTCACTTAAAACTACTCTGAATTTCAACCCACCTGTACCAGTGTTTCAACTTACATGTAAGCATGTTTCAATGCTCTTGTACCAACCTTCCTACTCACATGTTCCCATATTGCAACTCACCTATACCAGTTATACAACTCACACCTTCCTATGTTGCAGGCTGTTGTATGTATCTACCAGCGCGTCGATCGTTGTGTTCCTCGTGCTGGAGGTGGGCATGAAAGAACCCCGGAACCTCGTCTCTGTAGGGGGACTGGCTTTCTTCATAGTGGTCGCATTCCTGCTCTCCAATCGGCCTGCTAAGGTACTTTAACATGAGACCCAAGAGTATATTATCATTTGTTGCAGTGAGCTGAAGTGCCATGGTGTTCTAGTTGCGTTTATGTTGCAGGTCAACCTAAGTTTTTGGTGTCTCAGCTGTGTTTATGTTGCAGGTCAACCTAAGTTCTTGGTGTCTCAGCTGTGTTTATGTTGCAGGTCAACCTAAGTTCTTGGTGTCTCAGCTGTGTTTATGTTGCAGGTCAACCTAAGTTCTTGGTGACTCAGCTGTGTTTATGTTGCAGGTCAACCTTAGTTCTTGGTGTCTCAGCTGTGTTTATGTTGCAGGTCAACCTTAGTTCTTGGTGACTCAGCTGTGTTTATGTTGCAGGTCAACCCGAAGTTCTTGGTGTCTCAGCTGTGTTTATGTTGCAGGTCAACCGAAGTTCTTGGTGTCTCAGCTGTGTTTATGTTGCAGGTCAACCTTAGTTCTTGGTGTCTCAGCTGTGTTTATGTTGCAGGTCAACCCAAGTTCTTGGTGTCTCAGCTGTGTTTATGTTACAGGCCAACCTAAGTTCTTGGTGTCTCAAACCCGTGAAGTTGCAGGGTTAGTTCTTCGTGTCTTCAGGAACCCATGTTTTGTTGCAGGTAAAGAAGTTCTTGGTGACTATGCTCGTGTTTATGAGGCAGGTCAACCGAAGATCTTGGTGGTCAGGCTCGCTGACTGTGTTGCACATGTCAATCGGTTCCCAATTGCGCAGATCTGTGTTTCATGTTGTTGATCACTGGAAGTTCTTGGGTCTCAGACTGTGTTTATGTTACAGGTCAACCGATATAGCTGGAATATTGTCTCAGCTGTGTGGCGTGTTGCTAAGGTCAACCTCAAGTTCTTGGTGTCTCAGCTGTGTTTATGTTGCAGGTCAATCGAAGTTCTTGGTGTCTCAGCTGTGTTTATGTTGCAGGTCAACCGAAGTTCTTGGTGTCTCAGCTGTGTTTATGTTGCAGGTCAACCTAAGTTCTTGGTGACTCAGCTGTGTTTATGTTGCAGGTCAACCTAAGTTCTTGGTGTCTCAGCTGTGAGTATGTTGCAGGTCAACCTAAGTTCTTGGTGACTCAGCTGTGTTTATGTTGCAGGTCAACCGAAGTTCTTGGTGTCTCAGCTGTGTTTATGTTGTAGGTCAACCCAAGTTCTTGGTGTCTCAGCTGTGGTTATGTTGCAGGTCAACCCAAGTTCTTGGTGTCTCAGCTGTGTTTATGTTACAGGTCAACCTAAGTTCTTGGTGACTCAGCTGTGTTTATGTTGCAGGTCAACCTTAGTGTATGGTGTCTTCTTGTGCTTCAGGTCAACTGGCACACGGTGTTCTGGTCGGTTGCCCTTCAGTTTATGTTGGCCCTGTTCATCCTGCGTACAGAGGTTGGCTCTGGTTCTGTTAGTTGGATGGCAGAGCGAGTCAACAATGTGCTGAAGAATTCAAGGAAAGGTTCAGAGTTCATGTTCGGGAAGAGCTACAGAGACCATAATCTGATATTTGGCGTGGGTATTGCATGTGTTTGGATGTTACATCATTTAACCTATAATCGTCCACAGTGTAAACTACTGCTGTTTATACCATCGTGTGTGTGATGTGAACGAACAAGTTTGAGTAAATCATTAAGCCAGCAACCTTTAACTAGGATGTATTATTGTTATAGGGTTACTATTACAGAAAAGACAATTAAGGTTGTTTCTCTTCTAAGCGAATTTGTGGTCCATTGGAAAGTGCGTTTGCCCGGATCGGTTGTTCGATCCTCTGAAGTGTCAAACCAATAGATCATGAAGAGTGATGTTCTCTCTTTCGCTCAGCATTAGACGGACAACACAAGGACTGTCGGCTCTGGGGTAATGAAATATGCGTCATTTGTAAAACATATCCGTTGGCTGGATGCATTAAACAAGAAAACACGCACGCACGCACGCACAAATGCATACACACATACCATACGTACGTGCACGCATTTGTCAGTGCATTGATCTTGGACACGATGTAACACTGCATCATCTCGCATCCTTTTTCTTTTTCAAGTCATTCCCGTGCATTTTCTTCATCAACGCATTGGTGGCCGTAATGTACTACATTGGAGCGATTCAGTGGTTTGTGAAAGTCATTGGGCGTTTCCTGAGATGGTCACTGGACATCACTGACCGGGAGTCCATCTGCGTGGCCACTAACATACTCATCGATTACGTGAGTTAACCCAAGGGAGAAACATGGCAGTTGTATTAGCAGAACGTGCATGGACGTAGCACACACATGAATCCTGTTATATGTGCGAGCATGTATGCATGTACCAGAGCATTGCATGCCTGTATGTTTGACCCAGACATGTCATCACTGGACTTCTGTTGTAGTTTATAGTTGGTGACTGTACCTGTATATTTCTTCTTCGGCACTGTTCATGGGATGAAGACACTGATGTGTTTCTCAGCTGTGCATTTTGTCGTTAGTGCAATTTCTCTTGTGAAAATATCACTGATCAAAACATTTCCTTACATGTGTCATCAAAGTTTTAGAAAGATATGTTATGTGTTCACTGTACCTGTATGTTTGACCCAGATATGTCATCACTAAAACTCCATGTATCACCCAGACATGTCATCACTGTAATGCATGTATGTTTGACCCAGACATGTCATCACTGTACCTTTATGTTTGAACCAGACATGTCATCACTAAACCTCCATGTATGACCCAGACATGTCATCACTGTACCTTTATGTTTGACCCAGACATGTCATCACTAAACCTCCATGTATGACCCAGACATGTCATCACTGTACCTGTATGTTTGACCCAGATATGTCATCACTAAACCTCCATGTATGACCCAGACATGTCATCACTGTAATGCATGTATGTTTGACCCAGACATGTCATCACTGCACCTGTATGTTTGACTGGGACATGTCATCACTGTACCTCAATGTTTGACTGAGGCATGTCATCACTGTACCTCCATGTTTGACACATGTTATTGTTGTACCTCAATGTTTGACTGGGACATGTCATCACTGTACCTCAATGTTTGATTGAGACATGTCATCACTGTACCTCAATGTTTGACTGGGACATGCCATCACTGTACCTCGATGTTAGACTGAGACATGTCATCACTGTACCTCCATGTTTGACTGAGGCATGTCATCACTGTACCTCGATGTTTGACTGGGACATGCCATCACTGTACCTCAATGTTTGACTGAGACATGTCATCACTGTACCTCAATGTTTGACTGAGACATGTTATCACTGTACCTCAATGTTTGACTGGGACATGTCATCACTGTACCTCAATGTTTGACTGAGGCATGTCATCACTGTACCTCGATGTTTGACTGGGACATGCCATCACTGTACCTCAATGTTTGACTGAGACATGTCATCACTGTACCTCAATGTTTGACTGAGACATGTTATCACTGTACCTGTATGTTTCACTGAGACATGCCATCACTGTTTCGCCCAGACATGTCATCAGGGTTTCACCCACTGTACCTGTCTGTGTCAGTCGCCCAGAGACGTCATGTCTCTGTATTTCTCACGGTGTGTTTCAGCCGTCCACTGGTCTGGCAATGAAGCCGTACATGGAGCTGATGTCGAGGTCGGAGATCTTCACAGTGCTGGTAGCCGGGCAGGCCTCAGTGTCGGGAACGTTCATCGGGGTTGTCTCATCTTTCGGGGTAGAGTACTACACTTACAGTCTGTCACTACGGCTGTGTGTGCGAGCATGCATGCATGTGTGCGAGAGGTCAAAGGTGGACTTCTTTGTAGTTTATAGTTGGTGACTACTGTTATTTCTTCTTCGGCACTGTTCAGGGATGAAGACTCTGATGTGTTTCTCAGCTGTGCATTTTGTCGTTAGTGCAATTTCTCTTGTGAAAATATCACTGATCAAAACATTTCCTTACATGTGTCATCAAAGTTTTAGAAAGATATGTTATGTGTTCACAGATATCTGTGTCGTACCTGATCCCGGCGTGTGTGATGTCGGCACCCGCCTCCATCGCCATCTCCAAGTTGCTGTACCCTGAGTCGCGACCCATTAACCACAAAAACACATGTGACGTGGGAAGTAAAAAGTGAGTACCTCTTATTAAAGTCAGTACACCTCCTGGAAGAAACCAACAGTGACAATACGCGCTTATTAAATCGTTTCATTAAATCACGGGCGGACGGAGGAGGAGATAGAATTTAGGTTCACTTTGGGCACGAGTTAAAACAATTTTATAGAAACTTATTGAAACGTTTACGACGCGCTCTCATTGAGGCGGTGGGATAGCCTAGTGGTTAAAGGGTTCGCTTGTCACGCCGAAGACGTGGGTTCGACTCCAAACATGGGCACAGCATGTGAAGCCCATTTCTGGTGCTCCCCGCCCTCATGTTGCTGGAATATTGCTAACAGCGGAGTAAAATCATACTAGAGTAGTTCCCTAGACCCTCAATATTTTACCCTCTAATGGTGGTATTATTTTATTCTATCTGTTTAAATAAGTGCAAAATATGTTCCAGTAGAGCAAGTTGCGCATATACACTTTCATTGTCCTTCTTCTTTTAATGAACTAATCCAATCGCGTTACAGCTGGTTGTTGAATGGCTTTAAACACTACGTCTCATATTAAATGAAGTTGTGTAATATATACCTTGAGGTATACAACACTAGACGATGTTGGTCCACAGGATGAATAGCCATGTGAACACCCCCACCAGTTATTGTCAGTATATTTGTTCACAATCGACTTCTCATCTTCACAAACCTGCCAGGTCGCCATAGAGAGAACGTCATCGAATCACCAGCTACGAATGTCGTATTAACAAGCTATCTAATTTAATACTATAGATACGTTTTGATATATGCCCACTGTAATTAAAACAACCCTAACTGGTGATCCATGTTACTCTAATGGGAACAATATTAATCGTCGTTAAGGGCGTTCACTAGGTATAGGTGCTCCTGTATACAGGTTTAAGAGGTTCACGTCCCTTGAATAGTTTATAAGTACCTCCACAGTTGACAAAACAACTGAACAGTTACAATATGATTCCGGCTGGCATCAATATGACACCTAGCTGGATTTGTGACACGTTTGGCACGTATCACACGTCTCGTTGTTCATGCTATCAATCACTCGTTTGTCTGGGTATACTTACAGACTGCCAAACGATGGATGCGGTTTTGGGGGTCAACTTCTAGGGGTTACTACATCTATAAACACTATATATTTTTGGGGGATTAATTCATTAATTTCCCCCCGGATAATGATTCCTAAATGACTATTTACACCCATGTTGTACAGCCACACCTGGTACAGTTGCTCCATACGGGGACACCATCAATACTTACAATGCTTCCGGCAGTATTTTTTCCGTTAAAATTACTGTAAGTGATTACATGCGCAAGTTACCGCATACGCTGGTTGTATATGTTCTTTATGCTGGTGTTTGCAAGATACACAAGCATCTTCGAGGCGGCATCCATCGGGGCAACGTCCTCTATTCACGTATTTGGCAGCATCGTCATCAACCTGTACGTCTTCTATGGCCTTCTCTCCCTCATCAACTCGACACTCGGTTGGTTCGGCGACAGGGTGAACGTCAACGATCTCACATTTGAGGTTTGTTAACATGTTTAGTGCACACTTTCGAAGTACCTGTATTTATTTTATGAGTATTTGTCATTGCACCTAAGACAAACCAAGAGTAGCCTGATTAAGTCCAAAACAGTATGTGCGTGCGTGTGTGCGTGCGTGAGTCTTGTTTTGTGTTCGTGCGTGCGTATGTGTTGTTTTGTGTGTGTTGCTTGTGTGTTTTTCTTGTTGTTGTGTTGCTGTTGTTTTTGTTGTTGTTGTAGGTGTGTGTGTGTGTGTGTGTGTGCGTGCAGGATGCGGCAGAGATTCGTGCTGTCTAGAACATATCCTGGTCTAGAACATCATTTAAAGCAGACCATGCGCCATGTCATGGTACCCATATTCAGTTTCTAATTGTCGGACTGATAATAGTGATATACATCATGCCGCTAGACGAGAAACACAGTATATTTGGTACAAGTCTGTTAGACCTACCAATATGACAGAGGATAGTCCGCCTTTAAAAGGGTAGAATTTCTTGTCCCTGGCCTGATGGGACCCTCGATAGCTACAACTATGCCTGTGGTGACATCTTCACTTTTTCTTTGTATCCTGTGCGTCGGTGATATATAATCCCTCTTCTAACGTTAAAATGTGTATTTTCAGTTTATATGTTCTTACATATTCTGGCCGCTGGCCGTCATCATGGGTGCTGACATTCAGGACTGTGGCAATATTGGCAAGTTGGTTGGGTACAAGCTCATGGGATCTGCTTCACTGGCCTACTACCAGCTCGCCACAATGTCGGGCAACAGACAGGTGTTTCAGGACTACATGGAAAGTACAAATGGAACAGGCACATATCGACACATACAAGACGACCTATGCTTAGATGGCTGGAACAAAACCCTGCAGTATGGTTACATCACAGTACGTAAACAAATCATTGGAGACACATGGAGACAAAGCACCAGAAGTTACCATTTATTAAATTATAGGTTATCGCCATTGTTTTGTTTCATTCAGACAGGTAGTCAATACAAGACTTGATATTTCTCGTGAAGAGCCAGGTATTAACACTATTTCTCCGCTATTTAAATTGGGAAAAGATCAGATAATATCAGATTGCTTTATAAAGCGTGTTTGTTGATACACTTTCTGATGAAAATGCCTTTTGTTAATGCTCTTAACAACCGATATTAAAACATGTTATTGATAAAGCAGCAAGAATTAAAATCGTTTATAAGCAGATGTCTGTTTCTTTTAAGGAAAAATCCGAGGCTATATCAACATACGCCTTGTGCGGCTTGTCCAACTTTGTATCAATCGGGATATGCCTGGCTGTTTTCTACACCATTGTGCCAAGAAAACAGAAATTCGTTACCAAGAAAATAGTGTTGTCGATGTTTTCAGCAAACCTAGCTTGCTTCATGACGGCATGTTTCGCAGGTAAGATAGTAGTATATAATCGTCAGTTCGTTAACAACATAGCTCAAAACCATAATTATATACTTTTGTTAAAACAGGGTATTTGAAAATACAGCTAGGTAAAGAGATGTTGGAAGAGATGTTGGAAGTATGGTCCTGGAATGTTTAATATTGAATTTATTGGTGAATGTGAACATTCAAAAATGTCATTTTGTGTGTCATACACGATCCAAGGTCAATACCGAGTGTAGCCTCCATGTGACTGTATGACAGCCAGCACTCTCCTCCTCATACCCCTGTCAGCCTCCTGATCCTCTGAAGGGGCAGTCTACCCCATTACTCGTGTAAAGCACCTTCCAATTGGGCCAGGTTGTGTACAGGAGGATCCCTTTGTTGCACACGACCACCACTCATTTCCCAGATATGCTCCAAAGGGTTAAGATGAGGGCTCCTTCAATCATGAGATATGTCAGGGGGTGCTTAACTAAGTTCTATGTGTATATTATGTATTCAAGCGGTAACAGCATCTAATCTCTCTTGCTATTTGAAATGTAATGGATTGTTGGGAAAACAGCATCCGCAGTTGGTGGAGAGAGTGACACCCATCAGGGACAATGAAAGTAGGATCTGTCAGCTTCAGTCAGGTGGCGTTGTTGTTCTGTACAAAACTATGTCCTGTATGTTGTAGCTCTGTACAAGACCATGTTCTGTATGTTGTAGCTCTGTACAAGACCATGTTCTGTATATTGTAGCTCTGTACAAGACCATGTTCTGTATGTTGTAGCTCTGTACAAGACCATGTTCTGCATATTGTAGTTCTGTACAAGACCATGTTCTGTATAAAGACCATGTTCTGTATGTTGTAGCTCTGTACAAGACCATGTTCTGTATGTTGTAGCTCTGTACAAGACCATGTTCTGTATGTTGTAGTTCTGTACAAGACCATGTTCTGTATGTTGTAGTTCTGTACAACACCATGTTCTGTATATTGTAGTTCTGTACAAGACCATGTTCTGTATGTTGTAGCTCTGTACAAGACCATGTTCTGTATATTGTAGTTCTGTACAAGACCATTTTCTGTATGTTGTAGCTCTGTACAACACCATGTTCTGTATATTGTTGTTCTGTATAAGACCATGTTCTGTATGTTGTAGCTCTGTACAACACCATGTTCTGTATGTTGTAGCTCTGTACAAGACCATGTTCTGTATATTGTAGTTCTGTACAAGACCATTTTCTGTATGTTGTAGCTCTGTACAACACCATGTTCTGTATATTGTTGTTCTGTACAAGACCATGTTCTGTATGTTGTAGCTCTGTACAAGACCATGTTCTGTATGTTGTAGATCTGTACAAGACCATGTTCTGTATGTTGTAGATCTGTATAAGACCATGTTCTGTATGTTGTAGATGTGTACAAGACCATGTTCTGTATGTTGTAGATGTGTACAAGACCATGTCCTGTATGTTGTAGCTCTGTACAAGACCATGTTCTGTATGTTGTAGCTCTGTACAAGACCATGTTCTGTATGTTGCAGGTCTGTACAAGACCATGTTCTGTATGATGTAGATCTGTACAAGACCATGTTCTGTATATTGTAGATGTGTACAAGACCATGTTCTGTATGTTGCAGGTCTGTACAAGACCATGTTCTGTATGTTGCAGGTCTGTACAAGACCATGTTCTGTATGTTGTAGTTCTGTACAAGACCATGTTCTGTATGTTGTAGCTCTGTACAAGACCATGTTCTGTATGTTGTAGCTCTGTACAAGACCATGTTCTGTATATTGTAGATCTGTACAAGACCATGTTCTGTATGTTGTAGCTCTGTACAAGACCATGTTCTGTATGTTGTAGCTCTGTACAAGACCATGTTCTGTATGTTGTAGCTCTGTACAAGACCATGTTCTGTATGTTGTAGATCTGGACAAGACAATGTTTTGTATGTTGTAGTTCTGTACAAGACCATGTTCTGTATGTTGCAGGTCTCTTGTACTCGGTGTAGGAGGACACTTTTATACTGCTTATCTACATCCCGTCGCACTTGGCATGACACGATCCATCTGTAAAAACCAGTGCAAATGAGTGAGTGAGTTTAGTTTTACGCCGCACTCAACAATATTCCAGCTATATGGCGGTGGCATCTAAATAATCGAGTCTGGACCAGACAATCCAGTGATCAACAGCATGAGCATCGATCTGCGCAATTGGGAACCGATCACATGTAGGTCAACCAAACCAGCGAGCCTGACCACCCGATCCCGTTAGTCGCCTCTTACGACAAGCATGAGTTACTGAAGGTTCATTCTAACCCGGACCTTCACGAGTAACAGTGCAAATGAATATTCACACAACACTGTACAAGTGCATCCAACTATATATGAAATCTACCTGCTGCCAGCCTCGACGTAATAACGTAAGCGTAGATGTGAGGAATTGTCAGGCCGCCTGGTAGCATGCCATCACATACATGCCCCTGCACACATCACAGCCCCTCCTCCACTACCACCACCACCACCACCAGCGACGTCTACACTTGGTGTTGCCTTGCTTATAGACCATGACCGCGGAATCGTGTTTGCTTGGTTGTGTATTTTTGTATGTAACAGTTGTGTTTTAATAAATACATGTATTACAAATAAGTATATTCTACCTTATGTGAGAATGTCCATCGCTGATTGGTTCAGGTGACCTTGAACAAATTACCATGTATCCCCGGTGCACGGCCGAACACTGCCCAAGCGGGGTATAAATCTTTGCGAGGGAGAATAAATCATGTATACCCCGCCCCAAGGAAAAAACATGCATCCACGGCAGTCAGTGACCCGTGAACCAGTGGTTCGGGTCGACCAGATGAATATATGATTGAATTTCAGTTTGTTTTCATGTTATATTTACATAATGAGGGATTTAAACATTCGGTAACATACATTCGTTGTTGCATTATGATTCGGGGTATGCGGGTTTTATGCGTCCTTCGTTAGGTTTTATCCACCTCGCCCCCTGCAATAAAACCCCGTATACCCCTCATCACAACACTACAAGATATATTGCATGTATCGGAAAATATTTGAATGAGTTTTCCCGACATACAGTACAGTAGGGACACTGGGTGAGATGTAATCACTGGACATACAGTACAGTAGGGACACGGGGTGAGATGTAATCACTGGACATACAGTACAGTAGAGACCGGGGTGAGATGTAATCACTTGACATACAGTACAGTAGAGACACGGGGTGAGATGTAATCACTTGACATACGGTACAGTAGAGACACGGGGTGAGATGTAATCACTGGACATACAGTACAGAGATAGAAACACAGGGTGAGATGTAATCACTGGACATACAGTACAGTAGGGACACGGGGTGAGATGTAATCACTCGACATACAGTACAATAGAGACAAAGGATACGATGTAATCACTGGACACACAGTACAATAGAGACACGGGGTGGGATGTCATCACTGGACATACGGTACAGTAGAGACACAGGATACGATGTAATCAATGGGCAAACAGTACAGTAGAGACACGGGGTGAGATGTAAGCACTGGACATACAGTACGGTAGAGACAAAGGGTACGATGTAATCACTGGACATACAGTACAGTAGAGACAGGGGGTGAGATGTAATCTCTGGACATACAGTGCAGTAGAGACCCGGCGTTAGATGTCATCATAGGACATAAAGTAGAGTAGAGAAACGGGGTGAGATGTAATCACTGGACATACAGTACAATAGAGACACGGGGTGGGATGTCATCACTGGACATACGGTACGGTAGAGACACAGGATACGATGTAATCAATGGGCAAACAGTACAGTAGAGACACGGGGTGAGATGTAAGCACTGGACATACAGTACAGTAGAGACACGGGGTGAGATGTAATCACTGGACATACAGTACAGTAGAGACACGGGGTGAGATGTAATCACTGGACATACAGTACAGTAGAGACAGGGGGTGAGATGTAATCACTGGATACACAGAGCAGTAGAGACACTGGGTGAGATGTAATCACTGGACATACAGTACGGTAGAGACAAAGGGTACGATGTAATCACTGGACATACAGTACAGTAGAGACAGGGGGTGAGATGTAATCTCTGGACATACAGTGCAGTAGAGACCCGGCGTTAGATGTCATCACAGGACATAAAGTAGAGTAGAGAAACGGGGTGAGATGTAATCACTGGACATACAGTACAGTAGAGACACGGGGTGAGATGTAATCACTCGACATACAGTACAGTAGAGACACTGGGTGAGATGTAATCACTAGACATACAGTACAATAGAGACAAAGGATACGATGTAATCACTGGACACACAGTACAATAGAGACACGGGGTGGGATGTCATCACTGGACATACGGTACGGTAGAGACACAGGATACGATGTAATCACTGTACATACAGTACAGTAGAGACACGGGTTGAGATGCAATCAATGGGCAAACAGTACAGTAGAGACACGGGGTGAGATGTAAGCACTGGACATACAGTACAGTAGAGACAAGGGGTGAGATGTAATCACTGGACATACAGTACAGTAGAGACACGGGGTGAGATGTAATCACTGGATACACACTACAGTAGAGACAGGGGGTGAGATGTAATCACTGGATACACAGAGCAGTAGAGACACTGGGTGAGATGTAATCACTGGACACAGAGTACAGTAGAGACACGGGGTGAGATGTAATCACTGAAACGACAGCACAGTAGAGACATGGGTACGATGTAATCACTGGCCATGTAGTACAGTAGAGACAAAGGGTACGATGTAATCACTGGACATACAGTAGAGTAGAGACATGGGGTGAGATGTAATCACTGGACATACAGTACAGTAGAGACACGGGGTAAGATGTAATCACTGGACATACAGTAGATTAAATACACGGGGTGAGATGTAATCACTGGACATACAGTACAGTAGAGACACGGGGTAAGATGTAATCACTGGACATACAGTAGATTAAATATACGGGGTGGGATGTAATCACTGGACATACAGTACAGTAGAGACAAAGGGTACGATGTAATCACTGGACATACAGTACAGTAGAGACAGGGGGTGAGATGTAATCTCTGGACATACAGTGCAGTAGAGACCCGGCGTTAGATGTCATCATAGGACATAAAGTAGAGTAGAGAAACGGGGTGAGATGTAATCACTGGACATACAGTACAGTAGAGACACGGGGTGAGATGTAATCACTGGACATACAGTACAGTAGGGACACTGGGTGAGATGTAATCACTGGACATACAGTACAGTAGGGACACGGGGTGAGATGTAATCACTGGACATACAGTACAGTAGAGACCGGGGTGAGATGTAATCACTGGACATACAGTACAGTAGAGACACTGGGTGAGATGTAATCACTTGACATACGGTACAGTAGAGACACGGGGTGAGATGTAATCACTGGACATACAGTACAGAGATAGAAACACAGGGTGAGATGTAATCACTGGACATACAGTACAGTAGGGACACGGGGTGAGATGTAATCACTCGACATACAGTACAATAGAGACAAAGGATACGATGTAATCACTGGACACACAGTACAATAGAGACACGGGGTGGGATGTCATCACTGGACATACGGTACGGTAGAGACACAGGATACGATGTAATCAATGGGCAAACAGTACAGTAGAGACACGGGGTGAGATGTAAGCACTGGACATACAGTACAGTAGAGACAAGGGGTGAGATGTAATCACTGGACATAGAGTACAGTAGTGACACGGGGCGAGATGTAATCACTGGACATGCAGTACAGGAGAGACATTGGGTGAAATGTAATTGCTAGACATACAGTTCAGTAGAGACACGGGGTGAGATGTAATCACCGGACATGCAGTACAGTAGAGACACGGGGTAAGATGTAATCACTGGACATACAGTAGATTAAATACACGGGGTGAGATGTAATCACTGGACATACAGTACAGTAGAGACAAAGGGTACGATGTAATCACTGCACATACAGTACGGTAGAGACAGGGGGTGAGATGTAATCTCTGGACATACAGTGCAGCAGAGACCCGGCGTTAGATGTCATCACAGGACATTAAGTAGAGTAGAGAAACGGGGTGAGATGTAATCACTGGACATACAGTACAGTAGATACACTGGGTGAGATGTAATCACTCGACATACAGTACAGTAGAGACACGGGGCGAGATGTAATCACCGGACATACAGTACAGAAGAGACACGGGCTGAGATGTAGTCACTGGAGATGCAGTACAGTAGAGACACGGGAAGAGATGTAATCACCGGACATACAGTACAGTAGAGACATGGGTTGAGATGTAATCACTGGACATACAGTACAGTAGGGACACGGGGTGAGATGTAATCACTAGACATACAGTACAGTAGAGACCGGGGTGAGATGTAATTACTGGACATACAGTACAGTTGAGACACTGGGTGAGATGTAATCACTGGACATACGGTACAGTAGAGACACGGGGTGAGATGTAGTCACTGGACATACAGTACAGTAGAGACCGGGTTCAGATGTAATCACTTGACACACAGTACAGTAGAGACACGGGGTGAGATGGAATCACTGGACATACAGTACAGTTGAGAGACGGGTCGAGATGTAATCAGTGGACATACGGTACAGTAGAGACATAGGGTGAGATGTAATCACTGGACATACAGTACAGTAGAGACACAGGATACGATGTAATCACTGGACATACGTAACAGTAGAGACACAGGATACGATGTAATAACTGGACATACGGTACAGTAGAGACACGGGGTGGGATGTAATCACTGAACATACAGTACAGTAGAGACACATGATACGATGTAATCACTGGACATACAGTACAGTAGAGAGACGAGGTGAGATGTAATCAATGGGCATACAGTACAGTAGAGACACGGGGTGAGATGTAATCACTGGACATACAGTACAGTAGAGACACGGGTTGAGATGTAATCACTGAACATACAGTACAGTAGAGACACAGGATACGATGTAATCACTGGACATACAGTACAGTAGAGAGACGAGGTGAGATGTAATCAATGGGCATACAGTACAGTAGAGACACGGGGTGAGATGTAATCAATGGGCATACAGTACAGTAGAGACACGGGGTGAGATGTAATCACTGGACATACAGTACAGTAGAGACACAGGATACGATGTAATCACTGGACATACAGTACAGTAGAGAGGCGAGGTGAGATGTTATCAGTGGACATACGGTACAGTAGAGACACGGGGTGGGATGTAATCACTGGACATGCAGTACAGTAGAAAGACGGGTTAAGATGTAATCACTGAAACGACAGGACAGTAGAGACATGGGTACGATGTAGTCACTGGACATGCAGTACAGTAGAGACAAAGGGTACGATGTAATCACTGGACATGCAGTACAGTAGAGACCGGGGTGAGATGTAATCACTGGACATACAGTACAGTAGAGACAGAGGATACGATGTTATCAGTGGACATACGGTACAGTAGAGACACGGGGTGAGATGTAATCACTGGACATGCAGTACAGTGATAGAGACACGAGGTGAGTTGTGATCACTGGACATACAGTATAGTAGAGACACAGGGTGAGATGTAATCACTGGACATACAGTACAGTAGAGACACGGGTGAGATGTAATCACTGGACATACGGTACAGTAGAGACACGGGGTGAGATGTAATCACTGAACATACAGTACAGTAGAGACACGGGTTGAGATGTAATCACTTGACATACAGTACAGTAGAGACACGGGGTGAGATGTAAATACTGGATACACAGTACAGTAGAGACACGGGTTGAGATGTAATCACTGAACATACAGTACAGTAGAGACACGGGTTGAGATGTAATCACTTGACATACAGTACAGTAGAGACACGGGTGAGATGTAATCACTGGACATACGGTACAGTAGAGACACGGGGTGAGATGTAATCACTGAACATACAGTACAGTAGAGACACGGGTTGAGATGTAATCACTTGACATACGGTACAGTAGAGACACGGGGTGAGATGTAATCACTGAACATACAGTACAGTAGAGACACGGGTTGAGATGTAATCACTTGACATACAGTACAGTAGAGACACGGGGTGAGATGTAATTACTGGATACGGAGTACAGTAGAGACACGGGTTGAGATGTAATCACTGAACATACAGTACAGTAGAGACACGGGTTGAGATGTAATCACTTGACATACGGTACAGAGACACAATTACAGTAGAGACACAGGGGGTGAGATGTAATCACTGAACATACAGTACAGTAGAGACACGGGTTGAGATGTAATCACTTGACATACAGTACAGTAGAGACACGGGGTGAGATGTAATTACTGGATACACAGTACAGTAGAGACACGGGTTGAGATGTAATCACTGAACATACAGTACAGTAGAGACACGGGTTGAGATGTAATCACTTGACATACAGTACAGTAGAGACACGGGTGAGATGTAATCACTGGACATACGGTACAGCAGTAGAGACACAGGGTGAGATGTAATCACTGAACATACAGTACAGTAGAGACACAGGTTGAGATGTAATCACTTGACATACTGTTTTAGTAGAGACACGCGGGGTGAGATGTAATCACTGAACATACAGTACAGTAGAGACACAGGGGTGAGATGTAATCATGACATACAGTACAGTAGAAACACGGGTTGAGATGTAATCACTTGACATACAGTACAGTAGAGACACGGGGTGAGATGTAATCACTGAACATGCAGTACAGTGATAGAGACACGGGGTGAGATGTAATCACTGGACATACAGTACAGTAGAGACACGGGTTGAGATGTAATCACTGAACATACAGTACAGTAGAGACACGGGTTGAGATGTAATCACTTGACATACAGTACAGTAGAAACACGGGTTGAGATGTAATCACTTGACATACAGTACAGTAGAGACACGGGGTGAGATGTAATCACTGAACATGCAGTACAGTGATAGAGACACGGGGTGAGATGTAATCACTGGACATACAGTACAGTAGAGACACGGGGTGAGATGTAATCACTGGACATGCAGTACAGTGATAGAGACACGGGGTGAGATGTAATCACTGGACATACAGTACAGTAGAGACACGGGGTGAGATGTAATCACTGGACATGCAGTACAGTGATAGAGACACCAGGGTGAGATGTAATCACTGGACATACAATTACAGTAGAGACACAGGGTGAGATGTAATCACTGGACATACGAGTACAGTGATAGAGACACGGGGTGAGATGTAATCACTGGACATACAGTACAGTAGAGACACAGGGTGAGATGTAATCACTGAACATACAGTACAGTAGAGACACGGGTTGAGATGTAATCACTTGACATACAGTACAGTAGAGACACGGGTTGAGATGTAATCACTGGACATGCAGTACAGTGATAGAGACACGGGGTGAGATGTAATCACTGGACATACAGTACAGTAGAGACACAGGGTGAGATGTAATCACTGAACATACAGTACAGTAGAGACACGGGTTGAGATGTAATCACTGGACATGCAGTACAGTGATAGAGACACGGGGTGAGATGTAATCACTGGACATGCAATATACAGTGATAGAGACACGGCGTGTGATAGAAGTACAATAAGGTAGAGTTTAGATTTATGTAACACACAACTTGGCACGCAGCACATCCCTCTACAGCTCTTTTGTATCTACCTGTTTTAGGTTACTGTATTATGTGCAATGATGGCAATATCAATAAAGACAAGATACTGTATGGATGAGAACTTCTATGTTTTATTATGATGCTACGTTTCTATATGGGCGCACATTCTGTACTTTTCTAAGGTCTTGTGAAATGTCAGAAGTCCGGATGGAACTCAGCCTAACAAAAATACTAGAATCTGTACTTTTGTGAGAAAGTGTAAGCCCAAATATAACTTATGTAACATGTGAACACTTTCTTAATGGTCTTGTGTGTCGGAGACAGTCCACTTTGATCAATGGAAGAACTGTCCTCCATTACTTCATGTTTGAGATAAACAAAACACATTACAAGTAGGAAAACGCCGATGTAACCTTGATGTTTACGATACTTGTGAGTCCGCTGAACGTACTTGCTGGTAGGTGTGAAGTATGCCGGTAACAACTACTCAGTGATGTCATCATAGACTCGGGCTCATACAAGATAGCATAGACTAACGTTTAGTCCCGTAATACATATCATTTTGATAGTAGCAAATACACCCATTTGAATTGAAAAGGAGCCCCAGTGAGACCAGAGATTTAGGAACCTGAGGAAATCTAGACTTGCTTCATTTAGGGCATTATCATTGCAGAGAGGGTTAAGCATTGGGGAAAATAATATGGTTCAGTGACTGTGAACCAGACTAAAGATAGCGCTGAATGGTCTGGCACTGGTCTCACCACACATTTTACAGCCGCTTCGCGAGGATATGGTGATGATGGTGTCTGGCGACCTGAAAGCAGCTGCTTGACTGTCTCTTTAAACGGTAGTTGCAGTAATTTCTTATCTTTGTGACACAGTTACTGGATCGCATGATGGGTATATGCGGGTGTAACAAGAAGGATAATACCTGACCCACTCACTCTACAGGGGATGGAGGTATAATGGTGGTGCCTCGGGCGATAGATATGTAACCACTGTTCAGATAAACAAAGTATTGCAAGAAGAACATGACTGATTTGGTGCAGGAACAAATGTAGGTTGGTAGGTGAGGTTTAAGGGCAACCTTGGGCCCTAATACTGTACGGTATATGCACACTTAACAAACTGTTATATTTTTGTTCAGTTAAATTATGTCATATTGCCCGTTTTAAAGAGGAAGTCTAACACAGCTTTTTGTACGCAACCATTCATTAAATTATCTCCAAGTATTGTGTCCATTGTAAACATGTTTTTGGTTTTGTTAAGCATTGTTTCTTTAAGAGCCTGGGGTGATTTTTCATGAGCTGGACATTCAATGAGATAGTGCTGAACTGTTTCTGGACAGTGCATAAGTTACAGCATTCTCATAGAGGAGATAGGTCTTTATCTACAATACCTCTATATGCCTTCAATCCACAATGTCCTAGCCCGAGGCGAGTTACTACTGGGCAAGTAGAGTACATGTGAGGAACAAAGGTACCAAGAGTGACGTCCCTTGACACATCTGTCGCCCAGGAATGCATATAGAGATGCATTGCCCTGTCGTTCTATGATGAATTGGACTTCCGGGATCAGAGCCTACAGGCCAGGAGTGACGTTTCTGTATGCATCACTCTGCAACATGCAGCCTCTGGCTCTCCTCCAACAGTACACAGTCGTGTTGAAACCGATGCAGACGACATGAAAACAACTGTTTCGAAGAATTTGAAATCTGTTTTGATTTTACTTCATAACAGAACACTTAGAAACCGTGACTTTTATAAAGATTTCATTATGCAAACACAGAGAGACAACGTGTTCAGTTGTAAAAAAACAAAGAGACTCGTTTTAGAAAAAATATATATCTATTTTTCAAAATAACGCTGAGACATGCATGAAGAATTTTAACATGTACGGCTGTAAATAATAATCTTGTCACATGGTAATTTGAACATCTGACATGTGCCTGACACATATCACATAAATGTCCTGAATGTTAAACCTAGCTGCACGACATTCCATGGTGCGGTGACAAGCGTCTGAATAATGGAACGCAGAACCAGTCAATGCTAATACAACGCTGTAGATATCAAGACATAAATACACCTCTCTCTCTCTCTCTCTCTCTCTCTCTCTCTCTCTCTCTCTCTCTCTCTCTCTCTCTCTCTCTCTCTCTCTCTCTCTCTCTCTCTCTCTCTCTCTCTCTCTCTCTCTGCTTCACTCAAACCTTCACGTCAATATTAATTTCCTTTCGCATCTGTGGTGTAATCTGTTGCAGAGCCGCATACCACAGTGTCTCAATAGCCCCGTCTTTCCAGGCGTTCACGGCCAAATACTGACACTTCTTCGTTTTCGTGTAGCACTGTATGCCGGTGTTGACATTCAGCGTCATATTGTTACGTATCTGATCATGTGTGACACCCCCAGCTTTCAGCGGTAGTAGTCCATAGAGGTACACATCGTCTACCCAGAAGAACGGCGTCATGTACGACGCGCGGTACATCGCCCGAATTATTTCTGTTGATATCAACACAACATAACCGTTACAGTAGTTGATGGGATAGTGAGAATAACCTTTAAACTGATCGTCCTCAACCTTCCATTTCCCGGTTCCACGTACTATTGGGCTAGACCCCTTCCCGCGGAGGTGACATAATATATGTCTTTGTTTCGACTTCAGGAGCGGATAGAATTTTTCTAAGAGAAGAAATGGATTGATGAACATGTCATCGTCCACCTTGAGGACCATCTGCGCGTGAAGACAGTGCTCCGAGATCCAGCGGAATGACAGAACCCCTTTATGCGTCAGGTTGTGATAGGTGTCTAAGAAATTGCCCTGTACGATGTCTTCGTACACCACGCCTCGTTTTCAATGAGAGACTGAACCTTCTCGTCTTGGGTTAAACCAAACAGAAACAGTATCCTTACGCTGAGGCCTTTGAAGAGGTTCTTATTGGCCCACGTCTCTCTGATCAGTCGCCGTCTCTGGAAGTTTTGGGTAGCACTGTGCACTATAACAAGGAACTTGAGATTGGTGATGTTTGCACATATATTAGGGTTGTTAATTACGTACGGGGTATCCATGGTAAGAGGATAAGATGTTCTGGGTACTTCCGGTACCTTTTTTACCAGTTTTTGTAAAGCCACGCCCTTTCGTTTCAGACGTGTGATTGTGTCGGAAGGGTCAGGAACGTTTAAAACTATTTCCAGCGAGCCATCTTCGCCCATACACCGGCGTTCTTCAAAACGGAGTCAACACTAACGCCATCTATGGACAGGTCAAGGAAAAGCTCCCTCCTGTGGTGGCAGCCAATGTAGTAGGCCGCCATGATGGCGACACACAGCAGCAGGGAGAGGAGATAGATCGACCTTGCCCCGGGGGTATTCCGTACAATCTCCATTACTGCAAGGAATCAGACCGATTTCTGGAATGAAACGAAAGAATGACAATATTTTCAGATTTTCTTGGCATTAGCATTATCGATATTGACACCCAAGCCTTATGACTCTTATCACGTGTTTTGTTCTTAGTATGTTTATAACTTCGTATGATCAGAGATGAAAAAAATACACTTTTTTACATCTTATAATTACATTACTGAGTCATGTTACTATTTCATATTAACACAGTGTACTATTTACATTCTGCAGATAGGTGTCATATCTGCAGATGATTGGTACAATTATTTCAAAACTCTGTAAAATCCTGACGTTGACTTTGGGACTCTTTTGACAAATATGTTCAAGGGTATATATCAGGCCATAATGCATTGGTGTGTGTGGATTGTACAGAAAGTGACGATAATTCTTGGCGACCCTATAACTGAAGAGGAAATATAAAGATCTAACTTAAAGAATGGTAAGTCGCCAGGGCTAGATAGCACCCCAGCCAAGGCGATAAAAGCTATTGTTGACATTCTGACATTGGTGTTGTTGTTTAATAACATTCTCACAACAGGTCAGTTCCCTGATGCTTGGAATGAAGAAGTAATTATGCCATTATTTAAACAAGTCCCCGATAATTACTTTGCTACGAATGTTAGGCAAATTGTTTACCTCGATTATTAATACGAAATTAAAAGTTTGGTTAGAGCTACATTCTGCTGTATCGGAAGCACACGCTGATTTCCTAGATGAGTATTCCACTGTAGACAATATGTTTATCATAAATACATTAGCAGATAACTATCTGAGAGAAAAAAACAAACAAGGGAAACAGTATTGTATTTTCATAGACTTCAAAATGCATTTGATTGTGTTGATATAAGTGAGCTTCTCTTTCAATTACTCAGAAAAGGATTTCATGGTAATTTATATACAATGTAAATTGTTTGAAATCCTTCATTGTAATGTGAAAGCATGTGTGAGATGTACGCCATGTCAGTTTACAGAAATGTTTTCATCTTCCCGAGGTGTTAGGCAAAGATGTATGCTGTCACCAATTTTGGTTTTGATGCATATTGAAGAATTAACTAGAATTTTTGTTCAAACTGACCCACGAGGTATTTTTGAACATAATGATATTAAATGTGTCTGCTTATTTTTTTGCTGATGATGTAATTATGGCGATACAGTAATCAACCTCTAGAGACAAATATACATTTTAGAAAAATAGTGAGAAATGTGGGGTTTAACAATAAATTTACATAAAACCAAAATAATTATTTTCAAAAAAGAGGAAAATTATGAAGAATTTGAAAATTGGGTATATGCAGGGAAATCTATAAAAGTTGTTTCTTATTACACATACTGGGATGTTATATTTACATGTAGACATGTTTACAGTTGCTTGTCAAAATTTGGCCAAACAGACCGAAAAAGTTTTAATTCTTGTAAAAGAATGAATATAGATATGAAAATGTGGATGATAACACTTGTTTTTTATTGTACGTTCGGAAATTTAGTGAACTAAAGAAACAAAAGTTTGAGAAATTATCCACATTTGTAAATATATTTCTCAGAGTTATCTACAGCACAAGTAACGTGGCAACTTTGAGCGAATATGGACGCCGTCCCTTGTTTATTCATCAACAGCTAAGAATTGTAAGCCTTCTTATAAGGATAGTCGGTATCAATTATAACAGATATGTTAAACATTGTTATTTACTTGTGAAACAATATGATTAAATAATGTTTTTCGCCCATGGGTGAGATTGTTTAATATCGCTCTAAATTAGTAGCCGAATTAAGTCAAAAGGAGTTGAATTTTGTGTCATGATACTTAAATAACAACATGTATTACACATGTATAAGCAAAATTGGAATAAAGATTTTAGTAATTCTACTCTTTTGTGAAGTTATTGTACATTTAAATCTCACCTTAATATTGAAAGATATTTAACTATATAATAAAAGGTACAATTGAGAAGGGCTTTGACTAAGTTCAGTCGTGTACAAATAATTTTAAATTACTACATACAAACATGTTCAAAATTGTAAACACGCTGATTTATTGTGTCCGTACTGCGGAGAAGATGATGATGAAGACGAATATTTCTGTTTATATGTCCACATTAAGCCCAATTTTCGGGAACATTATTTACCTGTGTATTTGTATTGCCATCCGTGTATCCAACATGTCATTACCTTGTTATCAACAACAGACAGCAATCTATTGCTCCCCTTACCCACCTACCTGTATTCAGATCCAGGTTACAGCGCTCTGATAATGTTATTTAACAGCATTGTATATTAAACTGTACTCTAGGCCTCCTGGCCCCGAAATGCAATAAACTTCTGTTATTCTTATTTACATTGCTGATGATCACCGTACAGTCAACACTGTTCTATTCACTAGGTAGTGTTTGTTTCAAAGTCTTTTTAAAGATTTTTTGCTTCTTATCATATGTCTTAACATATGTTTTACACACATATTTATTTATGGCGTCGGGGGTATTAAGACAACACGTTATCTTAAATCACACGGTGTGTTAGAAACACTCTGACTTGATCATTATCGCTGAGATAAGCATATAATATTTCTCTCATGCATCTTCAGTGAGTTCTGAGATAACTTGACCCCCGTATCGTGAATTATGTACTAAGTTAAACAGAAAGGAACAAGAGTGTAGCTCTATAAAAACATAACTACCCAAGTTTCAAACACATTTGAGATCCTGACCAACTACATGGGTGTGTTAAATGTCTGGTGTCTAACTTAAACAGCTTCTAGAACGACTATCCTCATTTCATACAGTATGTAATAAGTTGGAAAAAGCATGGAACAAGGACAATAACTCTGCAAAAGTATATTAAGACGTATTTCGTGACCAGTTACATCAGTTATAAAATGTCACTTCTCCAACTTAGTTTTGGGGAAGAATCTGTCCCCATGGATAATGGACGGACTATATACATTGTATACATGACGGGGAAAAAATGTGCAATCGTTTGGTTAGTTATAAACAGGAGAGTTGCAGAAACTACAAAACTGCAAAGTATGGGTGACAATAGAGTGTGTGTATTGTCTATAGCCGAATGTGACGCCATATGTTCTGCATCAAAATTACACCGACGGCATTAGCTTTAAATGTGACGTCAAAATAGTGCCGTCAGATGGGTTTACGAACTCTCCTGTAGGGATGCCCGCTTCATGCTGACTTACCCAGTAGTTGTCCTACACACTTTCTATGCGAGTGAAGTATCAATATGTTCGCTAATCTTTATAGTTCGTGTTTCATTTTATCACAGTAGAAGGTATGACTTAGAGCGGTTAACTCTGCAGGTAACTAACATATCACTCGAATTTGAAAACAGAAAATGTTGATTTTTCTAATTATTATTACTAAACTACAGAGATTATACAGTTTGTAGGCCCCTTTGCATTATTCCTGTTTGTAGGCCCTCGCATACTTTCCTTGGTAAGCTGGTATTATATTGCAGGTGTAACTGCACCCTCGTCATCTGTTGACACACCGAAATAATCATTTCCACTTGCAACACAGGGTCAAACACCCCCGAACCTCTGGAACAAGTCGTGGCCACAGCGATATGTCGAAAATACCTTCCTATCATTATTCAAACTTGCCAAATGTGAACCTAAATCTTACAGGGTTAATAAGGATGTCACAAGGTTTTATTTAGTGCCTTAATCAGGTAGGGCGGGAAGAAGGACAAACAGCCGCACCCGTATCTGGCCTGCCCAGACTAAGGCCTGTATGTAGCGGGTCGTGCGGCTGATAAACACAAGTATACGCTGGCCCAATCGTACTCTATACCTGTGGAGATAAGCTTATTAACGTCAGAGATAAACCTGCTTTTAACGTCTCCGGTAAACATCTTATGACAAGAGCGGCGTTAAGATAAAGTTGTAGGAAATTTAACCAATCCTAGTCCGCCTGAATTACAGAGATGTTTGGTGGCGACATTTCACGACAGGTAACTTAGGATTGTTACTGGGAAGATGACAAGCCCAAATATTTCTCTGTGTCAGTCATGTGTGTGTGTGTGTGTGAGAGAGAGAGAGAGAGAGAGAGAGAGAGAGAGAGAGAGAGAGAGAGAGAGAGAGAGAGAGAGAGAGAGAGAGAGAGAGAGATGACTGTTTCTTTCGCATGTGTGTGTCTGTGTTTGTGTGGGTATGTGTACGTGTCTGTGTGTGTATGTGTGTGACTGTGAACGTGCGCGTATGTGTATGTCTGTGACTGTGAACGTGTGCGTATGTGTATTTGTCTGACTGTGAACGTGTGGGTATGTGTCTGACCGTGAACGTGTGCGTATGTGTATGTGTCTGACCGTGAACGTGTGCGTATGTGTATCTGTCTTACTGTGAACGTGTGCGTATGTGCATGTGTGTGACTGTGAACGTGTTTGTGTGTGTTTGCGTTTTACATAAAATAACATCCCATTTTTTTATTTTCCCAACACTATATAAAAATAGGCATACATTATTTACAATATTTATGTTTGTTGAAGACATTATGTTGACAAAACTGTGTTGTGATAGAGAATGTTTCAAATATTTATCCAGAAATTTATTCCTTTCATCTATAAGCTACACAATAAGTAAAACATGTATTTCATCTTCAATTAAATTAAGATTAATTGTTTTGAAAAAAGGACAAAATCTTGAATCAAAAGGGACATTTTTAAATCTACAGGTCTCAGAACTAAATTAAAAATTACCACATCTAAATTTTGTCAAACAATTTCTTAAATATGGGGCAATATCTAAACTGAGATAAGTTTCAACATTTAGGAGGGACTTGAAAAGTATATAATTAGAACACTTG